TTATCTAAAAGATTATGATACTTGAATATTTTAGAATAAGGACTATTAGGCATATTTTACAGTTTAGAGAAGTGCTATATTTTAAATAGAGGTGTTGTATTTCAAAGAAAGGATAGGAATATTTGATAACAGAAACATTTTATATAAATCTTAATATTAATAAACACAATATAGTCAAGCATAAACAATATCTATGATCTGAATTCTTTTTGGAAAATGATTTATAAGGTAAACATTGAATGTTACATATTTTAAAGCACTTTTGCTTAAATTCTCAATCATTATATGCAAAGTATTTTCCAAATAGATTTTGAGTAAACATTCTTTATTAATAGATATGAAAATATCACCAAGAAATAAGCAAAAACTTAAATTTCTTCTCCATAAGTTTATTATATTTCTTGCTTTTCTAAACTCACATATTTCTAAAACATTACTTTCATTTGCATGAGTCATTAGCTTTTTCATAAGGAGTGCTTTTTTATAAAATCTGTAAACCATAGCATTCCTTTATTATTAGCATGTACAGGCCCATTAAATCTATTATAAATGGATAGTCTACTGGTTAATATTTTAATTGTAGCATGGGGTTCTTGGTATGGATCTAGGAGATGTTTGTGAAAGATTTAAAGTACTGGTTCAGATATTTCAGAATCAATTCCTGAGCAATTATAACATTTTAACTATAAAAAGTATTCATTGAAAATCAATTAGATAAGGCTATTAATACAATTGCTATGTTGTATATCAAGCAAAGGTGGCAAAGAGAGAAATATAAAAGTTACATCTATTTTCTTAGTAGGAATTTCAATCCCAATTATTAACTTTAAAAAATTACTTTTTATCCAGAGTAATTTTTCCTTTCTAGTACTAATATTTTCACAAGAGCTTAAAATTTTAAGTATACACTAATTATCAAAGGTTTATTTTGCATTTATATTTCTATATTTTGATAAAATAAAACATTGTGAAATGTTATGTTCTCTTAAATAATTTTTAAAAACTACCTTTTCGGAAAAAAGGATAAATTAAAATCTGACATTAAATGCTATTACTTAAAAGATTATTAAAGTTTCTAATAATTTTATTTTAATAATGTCTTATTTTATCTTTTAGTTTAGACATGATTTAGGAATGCTCACTCTACTTAAAATGAAGTTTGGAAACACATGATTTAAAATAGGTGTGTTTAAAAAATAGGTATGTTCAAATTAAAATGGGTTTTGAAAGACAAATGAAAAGTTTGAAATCAAATGTGAGATCATAGGGGAAAAATTTATAACTATGCAAATAATCATTAATTATTGAATTTTTGAGACAAATATTTTGATTACATGTATATACCCTGCTGACATTACTCACTTCTGTAACAATTCATGCCATTTAATTTTGCTTTGACTAAGCATACACTTCTCTTTTGATATCTGCAGAAGGATTTGATTTTGTGATAGTTTCTCTTTTGCTTCTACACCAAAATAGATCAAGGTATTCAAATAATGAAAAGATGAAATAGATATATTCAGGTTCTTTTTACATGTAAATACAACAACCAAGAAAGTCTTTTGAAACCACAAAATTCATTACTTTTTCTCTCGTGTCAGAAGCTGCGCAGGTGAAAGCAATAGAAAGACTGGAGGGGAGAAACGAACAGACAAAACTAAATATGGTGTTTTTATTACTGAAAAGTGATGGCTTTTCTCAGGAATATAGTACAAAGCAATAAGATGCATAATATTTAGTATGTTTTGTCTTAGCTCACTATTGTCCCCTTGACATCACTGTCACTTCCTTCTAAGGCTAAGAACTGCATTTTCCAGAATCCCCTTCTCTGTGTGGTTCTGGGTTAGAGTTTGCCAATGAGAAAAGCTTTCCAGAGAGTTAGAAGATGAAAATGAATAGGAAGCAATTAATTTTTTTCAGAGATATTTGTAGCTACATATTTGGGTAGATGAAAAATTGACTGTGGCTTTTCAGCAGTTTTTTTTTTTTTTTCATCATAACCCACTTTTCCTGAGATAGTTTGTAGTATTTTTTGAAGATTCTCAAGTATTGTAGCAGCTTCAGGAAAGCTTCTGAAAAAGCACTCGCTTGATGCTATAATCTGATATCTTCAGTACCAATCTCCTTGACTTTCAACAGCTGCTTTCTTGGCCTCTCCCTTCCCTGCTCCTTTGCCCCCAAGCCTCAATTCCCCCTATCCTTGCCCCCAACTTTTCCAACATTCCTGTGAATTCCTAATTCTGCTTTAAATACTTTATATCTGAATAGATCGAATGGTTTCTGTTATGCTACTGCTCCCTAATGATAAAGACACTGTCACAATAAAGATTGAAAAAAATATTCAATTTAGTAAATATTATGAGTGTCTGGGACTATCAGATACATCACCTTCATATGTAAATATCAAATCACATTTCTAAGTCAAATTTAGATTACTTGGATTTTTTCTTTGCTTTTTTCTAACAGCGGCAACTAGGACGATTTTATATTTTATTAATTTCTTTAGTTCTTAAATAGTTTTAAAAATGATGTTCGATTAAACTTTAAGTAATTATCTTCAATTTTTTCTGAATAAAATTTCTGTTCTTAAGAGATAGACGTGTAATTCATATACTTGACATTGTTCAATGGTATTTTATCTGTGGAAGGAAGAGATAAATCAAGTTTCAGTGAATATTAGAAACCTGTTTAACCATTACTCGTTTGCTGCCTCTTTTCCTCTGACATGATATGTAAAGCTCTTTAGGTTCTGTTTGCTATTGGAGACTGCTTTCAAAACACTGAGATGTAATCAAGATCATATTTAAAGATCAAAGCCGTTGTGACTGAATGGAGCTTGGATAGTAGATGACTCCATCGTGGCAAAAGGTTACATTCAAAAAACATTTGTGCTCAATAAATCTGAATAATTTTTTTCTGATACCCTCAGGGAAAGACTGTTGATATTCACAATGAATTGTAACATTTCTCTCAAATCTCTTTTCCAATCCTTTCCCTTCACTACTTCTCTCTATTCCTCCATTCACGTAATAACAAATACAAACTTACACAGTGTTTTCTACATACCAGGCACTTCACATATATTGACATATTTAATTCTTATACTGACCTTATGATTAGGTTTATTATTAGCCCCATATTACAGATGAGGAAACTGAGGCTCAGAGGGGTCCAATATCTTGCCTAACAAGATCAAAGAGAGAACAAGTGCCAGGGCCAATGGTTTGAAGGCAGCTTAAATATATTTATTATTTTATTTTTTTTGAGATTTTTATAACAGAAAATCTAATGACCTCAAAAGTGCTCTAAGCAGCTAGGCAGCAGGCTATGAAACCTCTCAAAGGTTTATCACCCCACTATGTTCAGTGCTCTTTCCTCCCTTGCTGACTTTCCCTTTCCTGTGTCATTTTTTATTCTAGCCTGTAATTCTGTTTTTTTTTTTTTAATGGAAATTCTACCAATCCAATCAGTATCCTCCATTTTCGTTTCTTTTTTCTTTTTCTTTTTTCTTTTTTTTATTTTTTTTTTGCCCTCTACCTCAGGATGCTGGAAGAAGAGCCATAAATGGCAGTTGGTATTTTCCCTGCTAAAGAGAAATTCATTTTTTAATCTTATGTTTAGAAGCCAAAGAAATATTAAAAACAAATGAAAGTGATGACACCAATGAGCAACAGAATAAAGTCAGAGTGAGAAGTGAGGTAAAGAACTTGGGAGAGCAGGTTATAGTGAAGTAAGACATGTGGTCCTTGTGTGCTAGTCTTTTTGTTTTGTGTTTTCTTTTGTTCCCCCATAACCTTCTCTTCTTTCTTTCCTTAATATGGTTCTAGATGCCGTTCAGAAGCAACATTAATGGGGATGGAGATAATATGCCATTGACTTTATAAGAAAGGATTCGGATGATAAAGAGATGTATAAAAATAAAATATAGAGAAGTAACTTAGTTTAGTATGTCTAAATGAAGTTGAAAATTTTGAGGTCACTGGATATTCTATGCCATAAAAATCTCACATAAAATAAAATAATAAATATATTTAGGCTGCCTTCGAACTGAGAACTTAAGGTTTTTAAATTTATTTTTCTCAACAATAGCTGATCAAATAATTTTTGTTTTCTAGTTTTCAAACCATAGTAGTATTACAATCTCTTTTTTTCTTCAAAATGGGGGGCCATTTACTTCCAGGTTGAACACCAGTGCTAAGAGAAAAACACACATATCTTCACTTTACCTCTAAGCCAGTCTAATCCAGTATCATACTTAAAGAAGAAAATTTCTTATCATTTTTCAACTTATAGTACTCTAGCACACGTTGATGTTTGTGACCCTTGGACTTTTTGAAGTGCTAAATATCTTATAACTGCTTTTTCAATTAAAACTAATACAGATGATCTTTAAGCAATTTTTGAGAGTTCTGCTACATTTTTTATGTTTATTAGAGCCATCCTGATATGTATAAGAATTAGGACTGAAAAAAATAATCTCAGCTGTTAATATTTAGAAATTTAAGATTGGAGACCAAATAACCTTATAAGCAGAGATATGATCACAGAAATGTTTAAAATAGATGTTTATGTAGCACTGGCCTTACAAGTAAGTGTGGAGCAATTTCAGAAACTCTAAGAAAGCTTCTGTTTTTCCTTTGCTTTCTTGACTTCTGAAATACAAAGAAATCTGCATTCTAATGATGTGAAGAGTTTTTTCTTGCTTTTCCTGAAATGTATTTTAATGGGGAGAAAACGAAGAGAAAGAACTACTATCAGGGGAAAAAATGAGTATAGAAAGGCTTTAGTGGCACATGATCCACCAAAAATGTTTAGGGAACCCCCAAATCAATGAAGTAGTGATTCATGAATTTTAAAGTGGTAGATTTTTTTTTAGAGGAGTGAGGGTGGCCTTTTAATCTAACATTTTACCAAAATATAAATTAATAGCATCTTAAATCCATATTGTGGAATATTTGCTCTCTTTCAGCTTTAGTGCCATGAAAGGCTACATTTGATGGTCATATCTACACATCAAAATTTCTTAAGTGTACATCAAAATTTTGAATAGTAAGATAACTCAATAATATGATTTTATTTTTAGTTTTAAAGACAAATAATAAATAAAATACCTGTATTTTATTTTCACATTTGACTCCAGAATATCCAGTGTGGCAAGAACACACATTGTAAAATACACATCTGCCTCCGTAAAGACACTTTTGATTGCAGATTGTTATGATTACCATCTATTGACACGTTCTATTCCAGTGGTCTTAAGCCATTCAACAACTGCACTACAAAAATAATCATAAGAATCTATGAATGACCAATTGCACTCCCATCTTCCTGCAACCAGGGTGTGTGCGCACACGCACACTGACACACACACATCCAAAAATAAAACACCCCAAACTCAACACAACAGTTTTATAATTCTATAAAGACATTTTAAGGTAAACAAAATTTTCACTGGCTACATTTTAAAGAATTTAAAATATATCTTTGTTTTCTTTAGAGAGGTGATTCAAACCAGTAACAAGATAGCGTTCATAATTTGCTTCTTAACAATTTAGCAAAAATTTAGTATTGGCCAGTATATGAAAAAATAGATAATTTTATATACCATAATTAGAAGTTTAAAGTATAACAACTCTATTGAGAACTCCTAAAGATTTTCACATTATCTGTACTAGAAATTTTTTCCTTAAAATCTCTCCTAATGAAATTTAAAAATACTTCTATTTCAATCTCTCTCTCTCCCCCACCCTCTCTCTCTTTTTCTCTCTCTCATTTAGCTATTGTCTATCTACATCCCCACCTATCAATAGAAAATTCTCATAATAGCAATAACTTCTAAATAACTAAAATTTTCCACATAGGAGGAGAAAGGTCAAATGAATTATAGTGTTTGTATTGTGGAACTTAACATATCACTTAAAATTATGTTTTTTAAGGACATGGAAGTATTTTTAAGAAATACTATGTGAAATTAAGCATAATATGAAATTATATACAACACAGTTATTTTTCATGGAGGAGTATTTGCTTCAATAGCTCACATTGGAAACTGACATAATTCAAGATAATATTCTCTTTGGTATAAATGCAACATTGAAAGGTTACATTTTCATTAGTACTGTTGTGCTCAGGTGGGTCATGTAATGCACAAAGCTCCACAGCTATGGAAGCACTGTTCACATCACAGACTTCATAGATTTAAATATTTATTAAACAATTTTTCAGAAGATAGCAGTAAGACATCTTGTTCAAATAATGTCATCAATATTTAGACAGTTTCTGGATAGTTGGAAATACACATAAAGGGGAGAGCATTTGAGATCTTTCTTCCTCGCATATCTCTTCAGTTTGACACAAATAAACTCATAAATATTCTCTACAAGTCTGGATGTTTCTTATGTTGGCATTTACTTGGTGTAGTGAGTCAGGATTCCAAAGAAGCCCACCCAGGATTACTCTGTGAAACCACATCTGTGCTAGGTCTAAGCTGGGCTCATTATGCCGCACTGGCTCCCCACCTTGCATCAGGTAAACTTGGGTGAGTTTCTCTTTGAATTCTAGGCTTCTTTGCTATAAGTAGCAGGCCATGACTTTGAACTGTTCTAAGAAAACTCTTGAGGTGGATAAGAGTTGAGATAACCCAGGGAAAGGAAAAAATAAGTGTGTGGTCTCTTTTAATTTTGGCTTTTTAATTGAATTGCTTACTGGGAGTTTGAACAAAATCTTTGCTGGTTAAATGAGAGACTGAAGTCTCTTTAGCTCTGAAAAGAAATAGACACTTGCTTTCCCAGACTGAATAACCAATAGGGCGATGACAGTTGTTTCAGACCCCCGAGTCCAGAGTGGCAGAAATAGGCACGGCAAGGTGTGCAGTATGGTAACACCACAGATCTAGAGAAGCTCTTGAGAACCCAAGGGAGAAGGGCAGGACATCCTGGAATGGTTAGCTGAAACAGAGAGGGGGAGGGAAGGAAGGAGGTAGGGAGAGAGAGAGAAAGAGACCTGTGCCTTTGAAAGCCTTGTGTTTCTGGTGGAGTCTGGTGAGATCTCTCTGGTCATTGCTAAAGTACTCTTAGGTGACTAAGAACCTTTGTAGTATTGTCTGAGGAAAAATTTCCCCTAGGTCATAAAGTGGTCCTATAAGGACATCCACCATATTTGGTTCATACGAAGACATTGGTTTTCTCTAGAAGTTTGTTCAGACTATGGATCTCAAAATTAACATGGGAAATCATGCCCCAGAGGCTGACAAGTTCCACGACGATCAACCTCCCATTAACTCAGATGACCAAAATGAAGATTCTTTGATACTTCTAAATTAATTTTTGCAGGAGAGGAGAGGAGACGGGGGAGATAGATGAAGTACAAGGGGTCAAACATGTGACAGAAAGACCTCTAACTATGGGTGGTGAACACACAATGCAATATATATATGCCTTACTGTTGAATTGTACACCTGAAACTTACCAATGTCATCATAATAAAATAAATAAATAAATAAATAGAATTGCAAATCTAGTCCCTAAAAAAATATTTAATTAATTTTTGCATGCACAGTTAGAAAAAGCCAGCTATAAAATTAGGCAGAATAAGTAGAAAATATATTTAATTGGTCTCTCAAAGTTTAAAAGGATGACAGATAAATAGATCAACCTATGATATTGTTTATGCGTCAATTAGATTCTTTGAGGTATTAGAAATGGTTGTCCTTATTTTAAAAGGGAAAGGTCTTTTGGAACTTGACTAGTCAAGGACAGATATAAATTATAAATGCCTCCAGGGCAAGATTTTGAGCCAATTGTTCTTTTACAAACTAGTGAGTTTTTATCGTGTCTGAAAGGTCTCTGTGTCTGTCTGTACATGTGTGTATATATATGTATGTTGTAAATGTGAGTTAATTTTCTACCTCCAAATGGTATTGTTAAAGTTAATTTAAAGGCAATCGCTTATAAGAATTGGTATTCTAAAATTCTCAGAAATATAGAAACTAACTGAAATGTTTTTCATGTTCATGTGATATGAAATTAATCCTTAGTAAATAAAAGCTAGCTTAAGTTTGTTGGTTTAGGTAAAATAGACATATCTTTATTTTGCCTGGGTTTTACAAATATAAGTCCATGTTAATAACTGACTTTTGTCTATGAAAAATGTTTCTAGGGGTTATAAAATGTCCAAGCTGAAGAATGCTATTTGCTACTTTTTAATTTTTATTAGAAAATGAGGTTTTAAGAAGGATTAAATTTTCAGTATATGTAGGAATAACTTTGTAGTGTTTCAGAAGAGCCCCTGGAATACCTCAAAAGATTTTAAATTGCATGGGAAGGATTATAAAATAAGCGATGAAAACTTCCATGGTATATTATATAGGTAAACAATAGTTGTAAATAAAAAAATTAGTTGGAGTCTGTGGCCATGCCACCCTGAACGTGCCTGATCCTGTCTCATCTCAGAAGCTAAGCAGGGTCGGGCCTGGTTACTACTTGGATGGGAGACCACCTAGGAAGACCAGGTGCTGTAGACATTTAAAAAAAAAAAAAGTTGGGGCTATGGAAAACCCAAGATGGCCACTTGGCTCTTTCTTGCTCCCTGGCTTCCCATTTTTTAGTTTTGGCATTCCTTCATCCATCTCAATGCATTTAAGCTGCACTTAGATGAAGAAAGGAACTTATGAGCTGACATTATTGAAAGAAGACATCTTACACTATTGCCAAGGTTTGATAGAGTCGCTTCAAGAAAATGCCAAGTTGGTAAGTGCTTCCTATCACAGCAAGCTCCCAGCAGACAGCTATCCCAAAACAGTGACGACTCCTGTGTACCTATGGATTGATATTGAACTTAGAATCCATTCAAAATAAATGAATGAACAAAACAGAAACAAACTCTTAGACATAGATTATAAACTGATGGTTGCCAGATGGGAGGGGCATCAGGGGACTGGGTAAAAAAGGTGAAGTGCAAATTGGCTGTTACAAAATAGTCATGGAGATCTGAAGTACAGTATAAGAGATATAGTCAATAATATTGTAATAACTGTGATGTCAGGTGAGTACTAGACTTATTGGAGAGATCACTTTGTCAGTTATATAAATGTCTAACCACTATGCTATTATATACCTGAAACTAACATAATATTGAATGTCAGTTGTAACTAAAAAGTAAGAAAAGTTTTAAAAATATACCTAAAGGTGCTGCAACGTGCAAAAACATTGTGCATATCTTCAGGCTGTGTGTAGAGTACCTCCATTCATAGCCATTGGAGCATATTTCCACATTAATATGTTTTTAACATCTCGTCATTCTTTCTCACGGTCACATAGACTTCTCTCCAGAATGAGTAGCCCAAATTTAGGGTGACAGCTTTTTTTCCCCAAGCATTTTATCACAAATAACTTCCAATGTAAATTCCAGTGAGAATTATTGATTTCTGAGCACAAATTTCTTATATTACTAGCATTTAATAAATTCTTTGATATTTTTCTAGGATGAGAAATGTATAAATTATAATAGTAATTACTATTAAAATAAAGTCTAAGAGTCATGAAAATAACATGTAGCATCTCTGATACATGGAAACAAGTATGGTTCATAAGCTGTTGAAAAGCAGGGCAGTATTTCCAGTAAAAAGGCATGGTCATTTTATAACTGCGATTTCAGTTTACTATACACTTGAATCAACAGTTTTAAAATTATGTAATTATTGATCATTTGAAAATATTTTGGGGGGATTTCTAGTTTTCTCATTAATATTTTAACATGTTATTTCAAGTTTTCATAAATTTAAAAATTACATAAAATTTGATTTTCCCCTATACCCTGAGATCACATCTATGTAAAAATGTATGACTAAAACTAAATGGAAATATATTAAAATACTAAAATTATAACATAAATTAGTTCTGGGTGGTGGAATATAGTGATTAATTTTAAAAACCTCATATTTTCTATGATTTCCATGATAAATATGCATTTATCTTATGATATGAAAAGATATTTAAACCATATATTAAAAACCTTCTTTGGTGTACCTGAGAGAACTTCCCTGGCAACTCGCAGACCATAATTTATGTTGCACAAAATATTAATATATTATACCATACTTTATTTCTATTAAATGGGTATAAAAATGGATAAGATTTCCTTTTATTTCTAAAATCATTTTGTTCATGGATCAGCATGCTGTGATTTTTTTCCCCCATATGGGTTTCTCCTAATGCTATACTTTCTTTAATAATTATAACAGATTTGGGTTCAGATCATAAAGTAGAAAACAAATTCTGTAGGCTTACATATTTGACACCGCATTCCTTCCCACGTAGTAGGACAATAACATATGTTAGAAGCAATACATTCACCACTGTTTTTACATTTCTGAAAGCAGATAGCTGCAAATAGAATTATAAACAAGTTAAAAATATAATTTACTAGTCATAACATCATAAACTACGAAAAATTTCATTAAAGAAAAAAGAGACAGTTAAAAGTTAAATATTAAAGGATCTTTTCCCTTAATATTTTATCAAGAACTTTTTCAATGTCACTATTTATTCTTGAAAAACATGATTTTAATAGTTGTGTAATGTTCCACTAATAGAAATCACTGGAAAATACAGTGTACCATCTTTCTCTGCTAACTTAAAAGTATGAGTTGAAAAGACTTGGCATTTTACTCTCTATTTCAAAAATTTGTCGATGGCCATGCCACCTTGAACAAGCTCGATCCCCTTGAACAAGTCCGATCCCATTTGATCTCAGAAGCTAAGCAGGGTTGGGCCTGGTTAGTACTTGGATGGGAGACCACCTAGGAAGACCAGGTGCTGTAGGAGTAAAAAATTTTAAAAAAGAGATTGTAAGCTGACAAGGTCCTTGCAATTTGTGAGGTCAACCAAGGGTTGCCTCACCTAAAAAAATTAAATAAAGATAAATAAATATACATACATACATACATACATACATACATACATACATACATACAAACAAACATTTCAAAAAGATGTTTCCTAAAATAAAAAAAAAAGTAAGCAAAAATAAAAACAAACAAAAAACAAGGAAAATACTATTTGTTTTAAATTCTGATTTATGTTAAGATAATATAGGTTTAAGCATTTTAAGAGTATTTCTCTTATGTCTGCTGCATTGTTTCCCTCTCCAACCAGGACAATAGCAAATGTTTGGTCCTACATATTTTCCTCCGTTCATGCACATGAGATCACAGATATCTTAAGGTGAAAGAATGAAATATCAGCCCTTAAATAGCAATATTGTTGCTACTTAATGTGTTTGCTTTATACTTAGTGTTGTCTTACCTTTTTGGCACCTCCTACCAGTGTATCCTTCATGACAGGCGGCACACATTATTTCTTATGCAGTGGCCACCATTCTTACAGGGAGAGTGACAGATAGCTAAAAGAATACATGGCAGGAATCTGTGAATATTACACATTCAATTATTGTATACTACGTATTGCATTCTGTGCTTGTTATCTACAGGGGCATAAGGCAGAGAGATGCACTATTAAAATAAAAGATCAGAACTGCAAGTCATTATAACTATCCTTTCTAAATCATAAAATACAATGCTTAGAGCTATCGGCTGCTAATGAGTTAGCACAATTTGAAATTTATTGGTGAAGTGTTCACAACTAATGGGGTCTTCGGTATTATAGTGCATATATTAGGAAACTTGTTTTAATGTTTCATCATACTTTGAAGTAAAGAGTGTAATGATCTGGTCAAAACCAGTAAAATAAGTCAAAACCTAGCTCGAAATAACAATGTATTGTTCCTGTGAAAATCAGAAAAATCTGAACTGTCACATAATATTTAGAAAATACTTTTAATTTTTAAATACTTTTAATGTTTAAATATCTACTGAGGTGATATATGCAGAACACTATATGTGACATCTCTGTGACTGCTTGGTAAAAATATTTTTAAACATAAATTCTCTTTGTTAAGAATATTTATTGAATAATCTTGAGTATGCTGTAGTACCTGATATATCTATGTATGATACTACAGAATATATCTATGTGTATTATTCTGCTCTATGAAGTTTAGAAGTTGATATTTATCATCTTTTATGAGAGGATTATTTTGCTTCATATTTTCTCCCACATTTGAAAATTAAATACCACTATTTTAAAATTAATAATTCATAGGTAATTTTTAAATTTAATTTTTCAAAATGATAAATAAATGTATTTTAGTTTGTGTCTTAAAAATGAATGTCAAATTAACTGGTTTTGGTAATAGGGCCATTGTAGACTGACTTCATTTTTTTAATTAAATACACATTTAATATTTATTAAAGCTGCTTTCTTTATTTCCAGACATGGTTAGGAAAATACAACTGACTTCAAATTGATTTGTAAATAAAAATAATAGAGCACTTTATATATAAAAACAATATAACTAAATGATTTTCACATATGGATAATTGTCACTATTTTAGACTGAGCCTTTTCTGGCTAACACTTGAGCCTACTTTTTCTGGTGTTTTTATTGCTATTTTTTATTATAGAAAAATGCTTTAACATTTTCTGCTTTTAATTTTTATACAATTTAAGATTATTTCTATTTATTAAGAAAAATATATAGCCTTGCTATAACCAATACTCATCTATTCCACAAAACTTGAGTATAGAGATAAATACATTTATACAAGAAAGTATATGTAATAAAAGTAATATAGAGAAATGGCATAAAACTTAGGCTTGGTAATGCCCATCCCTAATTCCATTTTAGGAAAAGGAGGTTTAGGAGAAAATCCACCTTCTCATATATATTTAAGAGATCTATAGGCTTCAGATAAATCCATCAAACTCCAAAGTGAGCCAAGTAATCTGGCCTCACGTTCTGTGTAGAACAGGCTCATGGCATTCAAGGAATAAAGGAAGTTGGAAGATGTATTTAACTATCTCTCCAGCCACACGTTTTAGGCCTCACTTATTAATAATGTAGTTTTTAACTCTTTCATGATGTCTCCAGCTCAATTTCTATCTTCCTCTTTTTAAATCTTATAGAATATACAGTGTGTGATCCTCATAATTTACTTTTAACCATACTCTGCCTTAATTTATTCAATTGCTTTCAATGCATGTACCGTCTTCCTTTCCCACCATTTGGGTTACATCAGGCTCACAAATGGATGTGATCTAATAATAATAAAGACCATGTTTTTATTTCTTTTGTATCTTCTGTAACATGTCTTAATGACAATAATACTATTACTTAATGGTAGCTTGCCATGTGCTGATTTTATGTGTAGGCAGTCCACTACATGTCTCACTTGTATCTCATAGCAACTGTCTGATTCAAACTTGAAAACCAAGATTCCTGAGGCCTGTAAACTAAGTAAATTTCCAAAATCTATGCCAGCTAGAAATTTGTAGACTAGCTAATTTTGAAAGCTGTTAACATGACATATGTTCAATAAATAATTTTTAGTTCAACTTGGTAATTTAGAGATTTCCCTCCTTTTCCAGTTATACAATTGGCATATAAATTTTAAAGAACTTTTCTTACTGTATCTTACATCTGCTGTAAGTATAATATGAGTAATGTATAAGCTTTTAATTTCCTTTCTTACATTCTCTACTCAACACTATATCTATAACTTGTAAATATGGGTTTCAGCATAGTCTCCTAGTTTTCAAGATTTGCTTTAACTTTATATTTACTTCCTTCCATTTTGCAAACTGGTTACTTAAAGGAAATCTAAATTAGAGAGACTTATTTCCTATGCTCACATATCTAGTAGTAGAATGATGTTTTCTCTGCTTCAATTACAATCTAAGACTCCTGGCCAATCTTCAAAAAAAAATGGCATCAAATTAAAGTGTAACATGTCAAGGAAAGTATAGATTCCAGGAATTAAATTATGACATGTTTTGACATGCTTTTACTAAAAATCTACCCTACATAAACTCAAAAATATGAAGATGCAGAAAATACACTTTAAATTTCATTTATTGACATTAATTCATGCCTACACTGACAGCTTCAGGACATGCCCATTATTCTGGAAAAACAAACAAAAAACAGAAAAATCTGTAGTATTCACTACATGAGGGAAAGTGTTATAATAACAGGCCATGATCGGGGTAATGATGCATCTTTATGTTCCCATATTACCTTGTATAGTGCTGTGCACAGCTGGCTGTTCGTAAATGTTTAATGAAGCTAAAATAAAGAGAGATCATGAGATAATAATGGATATTAGATTGACCACAAACCAAACATTTTTGCTGTGAAGGCAACACAAATGACAATTTCGTTACAATTGATTGGAAGGGAACCTTGCTTTTTTGTTTATACCTTGGTCCTACAAAACTTCAAGGTTTGACAACTGCCAAGGCTGTAAGTCTAATATTTGTGTTATAAATATAATCTTTTTTCAAAATAATGCTGATATGTTTTTGTGAATTCATCATTTGGTGGCCAAACCTGCAACATCACAAGAAAGAAAAAAACTAAATAACATCTTTCCCTTTGGAACTTGTTTTTTTTTTTTTTTTTGTATTTAGTCAGAGCTCTGTTTATGTCTAACTTTTCTTTTGCCTTTTTATTTATAAAGAAAAAATAATTACCATTCCAACACCGTGCGCCAAAGTATCTATTTGGACAGAGGCAAGTGTTTGGTTTATTACAGGAACCACCATTGAGGCAAACGGGGTCACACAAAGCTAATGAACAGCAGAAGGGAGAGAGACCATAAAAGTTTTATTATTTACAAAATGAAAGCTGCACGGAAGTACAAATGGTGCATAATGAAATATTTTATTTTTACTGCAAGTAAAACCCATAACCTATAATTAATTAGACTTTGCCAAACATAAGAGGAATGAAATAACTGGGTAATAGCTTTGTAAGTCTGTTCATTAAGCTTACAAATAGTACCAAGCTTAGAATGTGGAGGCTGTGATTAGAATTCAGAATGCCATCAGTAAGCTGAACAAATGACTAGAAGTTAGGAGAGGACAATTCAATAGCACAAACAGAATGGTCTGTAATCTGCTCAAATATGTGCGGTCACGTGTTCCTCTTTAAGTCTCCTTTCTGATTCAAAAAGGAACGCTGCACTCAAGTCCTAGCACACTCAAAAAAAATTATTTTTGCTTATTTACCTTTGTTGCATCTTGAAAGTCACCCCTAATTCCATTTTCCTTTTTTAAAATTAAATATATTGGAGTAACATTGTTTAATAACATTATGTAGATTTCAAGTGTACATCCACATAATACAACATCTGTATACTCTTTTGTGTAATCACCACCCAAAATCTAGTCTTCTTTTTCACCATATATTTGACCCTCTTCATCTTCATCTTCTCCCCAACCTCCTTCTTTGATAACCACCATTCTGTCGTCCATATGTTTGTTTTGTTTGTTCATTTGTTGCTTTTTGTTTTATGTCCCATTTTTCAACCCAGTTTTTACCCATTCATCTCCATTTTCACCATGCCTATTGCAAACCACTAAGATCATAGAATAAAAATAAAGGTAAATTGGAATCGTTCATATTTTCAGCTATTATCTAGCTAGCAACCCAGTTTTTACCCATTCACTTTAATATTTTTTCTTCTAAACTGTACTTACCAAAACTAATTTTCCTCTTCTGTGCTACCATGGAACTGTACCTTAATTGCATTACTTGTTATAACCCAATTTTTATCATACTCTTTTTAATAATTGTATCCTGTGTCTCTTTAACTAATGATATGCTACTTAAAATTAGGGCAAAATCAAATAAATCTTTGTTTCCTTTGCATCATGCTTCATGCATAGTGGCAAGCTACAAATGTTGAATTAAATCTATGTTGAGAAAATTTACTAGATGCCAAAAAAGTAAGTCTTATACATGATAAATAAATGGAATAACATGATGGTGTCCACTTAACTCAGAATTGCTTGGATAGTTAATAAATATAATACCTGTGTTATAATTTTTAAAAAAACTTGAAAGAGTTCTGGAAATGCAACACAGCTATATTTCTTTCCACCATTAGGCAAATGGATGAAGAAAATATTTTAAAAAAAATATTGGTTGGGTTGGATAACATTATAGCTGAAATATATTCTAGGGTCTAATACAAGAAGAAAAATAATGAAAATGAAAGATAGATTTACATGAAATAAAAAATTTATACCAATCTTGTCAGATTAGTTTTGTGTTTTGCGGGGTACAAGTTTTTACAACATTGGCTCATTTTAAATTTCTTTTACTTGACAAATTTATTGAAAACATTTCTGATTTTACCTATACTACGGGTGGGGTCCATACCAGCCAGGCTTGCACTGGCAAACATCTGGTGTAAGACATTCACCTCCATTTTCACAATGCTTGTTACAAACCACTAAGGTCATAGAATAAAAATAAAGAAAGGTAAATTAAACAGAATTGGTCATATTACTAGCTTTTACATACCTAGAAAATAGCTGCCAATCATATCCTCAAATTAATAAGATTAGAGAGAAAGATAAAAATAATTTATCCTTTGGCTTTAAATGGTCTCCAGTTCTCACATTCTGTTATTTATTTGTTTTTAGCTAATGGAGATAAGGAAAAGTAGAAAACCATTGAACTGAATAGTAAACAAGAAATGGCCATTTGGGAAACTTATTAGTTACTGATGAAAGTAATCGCAGATATAAATGAGATAAATTTATATGCAATTTAACAAATCTGAATTCTTTTATCTCAAAGAAATAGTCATGATAGGGTCAAGAAGACAGTTACTTCTAAGAACAAACTTTTTTGTCTTAGCATTGGCACCCAGAGTTCCAGTTGTATGCAGAATGCTAACTGTTGTAATAAATCATAAATTTATGTTTTTTTACTTAGGGGTTAGGTTTATATCGGTTAGCACTAAAACCATTAACTATTCGAAGGAGCAATTTCATTATATTAGACTGCAAGAGAGCTTTGTTTACTTATTTCACACCTTGGTCCCACAAAACCATAAGGACACGTACAGAGATTTCCATCCAAGCAGGTGCCACCATGTTGACAAGGTGGGCTGCAATGTTCTGCAGACACAAATTATCTTATTAACTCAGCTCTTAATTTAAAAAAAAAAGTCAGTTTATGTTTATGAAAGCTTCTCATAAGAGCAAATTACAGTAAGCTCAGTTCTCTTTTACTATGATATTTAGTTCTGTGAGATTGATTGAGTTCACAGTCTGAAAACACCTACAAATCATCAGCATGGTTTAGTTTATTAAACTTGGGGTTAACTGGATGGAAATATATGATCTTAGGTTTCTTCTGAAAAGAGAAACTTAGACTTATGCATTCTTGCCCTATGAATTACAACACTTTTACATTTCATAATTATTTTAGTATGCTATTATTTGAATGTTTCTGTTAATTCACTCTAGATTTACTTTGTTAATTTGTATCTTATCAGGAAAGCATTTAATGTGGCTCTGTTTATTAATAATTATATTACATATATACTTATTCTGTGCTTCCAAGGAACTGTACATTAATTACATTACTTATTATACAACATATTTTTAAAACATTATTAAAAAAATAACTCATTTGTTTTTTAAAATATCCATTTAAGGAATACGATTTTATAAACTCTCCACTTAAGATTTCAACCAAAACAAGATTATATGATTATAGACATGTTTTTAAAAATTACTTTTCAGGTTTCTTCTTACTTCATGATATCTTCTATTTGTTGGTATTTCACAGTTTTTTGAAACCACGTTTGACAAGTTATTCAATAATCAGTTGTCTTTTGCTTGAATATTTGTAGGGATATGGCACCTTATAACTAAATCTAAAAAAAGATAATTTTATCAAAGACAAATAAACTATTGCTCTTTGGAACCCTGATTTTAGAAAAATTTTTTAAATCTTCAAATAAATTAATGTTTTTAAACGAAAACAGTTCTATTTAATTTGTAGAGTCAAGTTGTTTATTCTCGATTACAGCATTCAACATACAAATTACATTCACCTCTTGGTAAAATAATGGCATCCTGCCACTTCCCTGGGAGTTAATCCAGACAGAATTATTCCTGGACAATCTTTACCTACATGTCTACCAGCAATTGCCCTTTCCCTTATTACAGTGATATATAAACTCTCTATTATGCAGAAAATTGGAAAATGGTAGTTTTTCGCTCAACTCAGTAGCTATATACAGTACAGCACCATTGATTTGTCAGTGGATTTGATATCTTTTGAACTCCAGATGAAGATCTCACATTATTTAGCCTGTTTCTGATGATCCCAAAGTCACTTGAGAATCTGGCAGTGTCTCGCCATCACCGATTTTTGCTGGACAGTATTATGAGATAGAGAAGGTTTGCTAAGTCTTTCCTGGCCCTGAGCATTCACTCTGAAATAGTTTATTTGAATAAGGTCTTGACACATTTGCTCTTTATGTTATTCTGTAGGCTCAAAATAAACAACACAGGAGCTTCAGTTTGCTCATCCATATTTCCTAAATTTTCTATAATGAAAATGTATTATTTGTGTAAAGAAAGTTATAAAAAAATACTAACAAAATAAAAATAAATAAATAATAAAAATAATAAGTAAAACACAGGGTGTTTGGATACCAAGAAAACAGTAGTCTACTGTGGTTAGAAGTCAGGCTGGCAACACTTAATAATTGAGTATAATTGATAACACCTTTTGCAAAGACAATTTTGCCCAAGTTTTATATATTATCACTAGTTTGAGTTTTCTTGCCTTTCTCTTTCATTACTAGAGTCACCAGATGAAAAATTTTAAACATTTAAAAAATAACTGTTTTGGAGTAAGTCACCATCCATTCCACAGATTTCCGCCAGTTTCAAACATAAAGAGGAACAGTTCAGACAAGAATGATCCTTGCTGCACACCTGCCAACTCATACATCCTCCTTTTTATTTCAAGAGGCTCCTGCTTGAACAAAAGTTACAAAGTTAATCACAATTTGGAGTTCCTGACACAGCTAATCCCTGCTTGGTTTTCAAAAAACAGAGATCTGTCTTTAATTCCCTTTGAACAAACCTTCAAAGTGGAGATTTTTGGCCCTAAGCTCCTCTTCAATATCATCTATTGCCCACTGGTGATCTGTCAGCTCCAAAGCTTCCCACTCTGTCTTGAAAGCTTTGTTGGTATCGGAGGGCATGTCCATGGCAGCTCTAGTCAGCTGCTCCTGCATCATCTGTAATTGGTCAATGGCATTATCTTGGCCCAGAATCAGAGAGTAAATTCTCTAAAGCTCAAAGACATTGAGGAAGTACCAGGATGGAGAACTCACCTAATCATCTAATGTGAGCAGTTAGATTCCTTGATGTAACATAAGCTTATAACCGAAGGACAATGGAAATGGGACCTCGGTTGTGACAAAGCCTGACAATATCATGTCGTTCCATCCACCAATAGGAATCATAAGGAGAACATTTGTTACGTTGCCTTTCATCACATCTGTGAGCACAGTAGGGTCAGTCATAGAAGAAAGAAAAAGTACTACCTTTCTTTTATTTATTTTTTTTGAAAAATCTATACTTTGGGTTGTTAGAGTAGTATTTCATGTCAAGAAATACTATTTGGGAATGTATTTTCCATTTTCCCTGAGGACTCTGCTTTGAATTCCAGCTTGACTGTCAGAGACTTGTTTCTGGGTTAGCTTCTTGTCACTCTGCAGCAGGATGAACACTTACTTAATGGTGGATCATGCCTACAAAGAAGGTGATGATCAGATGGGTAGGACCACCCACAGAGGTGGATGTTGGAGTTGTGCAGCAGCTCCTGCCCACCATCTTCACAGGGCACCATCTTTCTGCCAGGTGTAGCTGTGTTTCTCTTCTCTCCTTCAAGTTTGCCTCTAGGCCTTCTCATGCCCCAATAAATTATTTTTAATAAAGATTAAAAATTGTTGACTCCCTCACCAGCATTAATGAATATATATTAGTATGTATACAGTAAAACTGAATTATTTTTTAAAAAGGTTTTTAAAAAAATACTGTTTTGTTTTGGCTCTATTATATGATTTAATTTTAATTATTACCTTCATCACAAGTTGCTCCACCATGTCCTGGGAGACATTCACAAATGTTAGGCTTAATACATTTTCCATTATTTTTGCAATCAGGGTGACACATAGCTGTATAAAATAAAGCTCATGGTTAGAAATATCAATTATCAATTAAATTAATTTTACAAACTAACAGGTGCTACACCTACCAGTTTGATAATTAGAACCAGTGCAACCAGGTTTACATTTGCATGTTTGGGGCAACACATTCCCTGCTTTTTCCACATGGATGTCTACAAATGGCTGCAAAAATCCAGAAAAAAAAATCAAGAAAAAAAATTGTTAATACAGTATGTACATGTTGCCCATAACCTTAGTTATAATAAAAGTAAAATTATCTGGAACTTTCAAAATTTGGTACTGTTATTAAACAGTAACCACTATATTTATCTATAAATTATTTTTCTCCTTGTATTTGTTTTTCTACTAGCACGACTGAAGAAAATTAGTAACAGGGTAAGAAAGTACTATATGTGCTAATTACTTACTCCCATAACAAAATCTATGTTGGAGATGGCTGCTAACCATTAATGGGATTAATCATTTTCGGAGAACAATGAAGTTTCAGATACTAGTCAGGTAAATGTTGATAAATGGCAAAAATAATCAGAATTTTAAAGAGCAAGATGCCGGGAACATATAAGTTTATTATTTGTATTCTTTAAGCTTTTCTAACTACCTGATATATTCTATTAGGTATTTAACACTTCTGAGGTAACCGAAACACACAAAGTTGTTTTATTTGTTAATAATAAGGAATTTTATATTATAAACATGTAAGTATTGAAGGTTATTATTATCATTATTCCTACAGAAAAAAATAAAATAAAATAAAACAAGAGTTTCTCTAGCTAATACCGAGAACAAAAGAATATGCCAACAACTCTATTGCTTAAGTTGGTCTCAAACAAATCAAAATACAAACAAAACAAAACAACAATAAAAAAATAGCTTCTGTTTTGTCAAAGCCAAAAATTTGATTTGCATCAGAGAAAACAATGCTGATGATTATGAAAAGAAGTAAACACTTTTTTTTTTTCAAAATTAACATGATGCCCAACTTGTTATATTCTCAAGAGCTGGAGGAATTACAGAGAGGCCTGGTTTCTGCGAATAAGCACATATGCCAGAATTAGTAATTTATAGTTCTAAATGTCCACTTTGAACTTAAAAGAACCCAGACTACAATGTTATTCACATCTCTAGTTTATCTCTTCAGCTGCTTAATGCCAGAAAACTCAGTTAGCTCTCTAAGGCTCTGCTTTCTCATCTGTATAATGACAAAAATTACACCCAGTATGTGGAGTTCCTGTGAATTATATGACATAATTGATATAGGATTTTTCCAAAGAGACTAAAATACAGTAGATAATAAATATATGTATAATACATCATATAGTTATAATATTACTTAATATTAACATTTAAAAAAATAACTCAGAAACATCCACGTTAATTTTTTAAAGTGTGAAGAGAATACAGACAAATAAATAAAATGAATAGAAATTAGTGAACTAAAAGGAGTAAATAGAAATTAATAAATAGAAAAATATCTTCTTAATTATGTGAACTAGATAATTTTATTTGTATCTTCTGAAGAGTTTCATACTACCTCTGCAATTGATGCCATCTCCATAATACCCAAGTGGGTAGCGTCCACATCGGAAGGGATTAGCTGTGGATGGCACACAGGAAACACCAAGAAAACAAGACAATTCAGCACAAGTTGATATTTTAGTCAATCCAGGTTTTTCTGGCAAAATAGTGATGGCTCTAGTAACTGATGATGCAAACCCATCCTTATGCTGTGTGTAACCTTGGGGAGACTTGTTAGTTAATTTGAGAATTATACCTTCTTGCCTCTGTTTGGATGGCGCCCTGGGTAATACCCTTTACTTCGCCATGGAAACGGTTTGTGTTAATGCTTAAAGAACTATGGTTGTTCATTGAAATTTCCAACGCCCCCAGGCTAAGATTTGTACTTAGAGTATGATCTGCATATTCAAAACCTGGTATCTTATGGGAAGTAGCCTTCATAGAATCAATCATTTGAGTTGTAGCTGATTTTAGTAAGAAGTGTGAGATGTTGGTTGTGTCCAAGCACTTTTTGATAGTAGCAGGACTGTGGAAAAAGCTTGCACCAATTAGTGAATGCTCTGTTGATGATGACTGAAAATTTATATCTAAGCAACCAGAAAAGAAGAAATGTTAGTAACATTTATAAATGTTCTGCTCTACCTACAATATTTAACATTAAGTAATTTATTCTTTCATTGATTATCTATTACATGTATAACACTATTCTAGGAGCCGTGCAGTAATGAAGAATCATCACACGTTTCCTATTTTCAAGGAACTTATAATCTATTTGGATACACAAAATAACACAGAATGTTAAACAGTATAAAATTTAAACAATAAGTAATAATTTTAGTAAAGTTAGAAATAGCCAACAAATATTTATTAGGCTCAAAGCAAAAGAAAGCGCAGCCCCATCCTTGAGAAACAGTGTTGTCAGGGATATAGACACATGAGCAACTCTTTTTAACAATCTGTGATCACTACTATGAGAGTGACAGCTATGAAACTTATAGGAGTGTAAGCGAGTGAACAAGTAATTTTGCCTGAAAAGAGAAGGACAGAAATTAAATGCTTAAATGAAAATTAATTGGTAAATTATATAAATGCTATTTTGTATGAGAGGCAAAGAACTGTAGCTCTAATCATTTTACCAATGTGACAAAATGGAATTTTATATCCCTGTCTTTCTTGATAGTTAAAGTGGAATTAAACATTGTAGATTTTTGGGCAGTGAAGGGGGGTCACATTTTTCTCTCTTCCAGGATGTTTTACTTTCTTTATATAATAACTCTTTAAAACGCTTTTTTTTAGCATAGAAGTGATTAGACATGTTTCCCTTTTATACTTTCTTCTGTCAATTTACAGTTTCATTTTGCATTGTTTTCATGCACAGCTCTTCTCAAAACCCTTACAATGTGAAAAAACAGAAGACCAGACCAAATTAAAACCAGAAAAGACAGAAGAAAACAAATGAAAAACAACAATAAAAAAATAGTACTTAACATAATTGACAAACAGAAACAAAGACAATAAAATTTTTGGTAATTCTGAGGACTTCATAAATCACAGAAAGCATTCAGGTTCAGATTAATAGCAAAGCAAGAGTGCACCAAATATAGCCCTAACAGAAATAAGAAAAAAGCAGTAATCACAATACAAAGAGCAAGAGGACCTTGGATCAATCCTTGGGTGAACTGACTAAATGCCCTGCTCTAGAATGTCTGGGGCAAGTCAATGTCCTTTTCCCCAGCCTCTCTATGCTGAAGGACTGCTTCCTCCCACCCCACACTGCTTCAAATGAATCATCTCTCTAGGAGAGTTTTTGGTATTAGAATTGGAGGAATAAGTAGGAAGAATTGGAGTTTTGGATTACAAAAAAAATAAAGCAGAAAAAAGGAAGAAGTATATATTAACAAAGGCATATTAGTAAAATAAGTTTTCTTCTAAAATTTTATATAATGACTTTAATGTTCATATTAAAGTATGCATCAGAAATACCTTAAAAATTACAAAATAGAAGAATTGTGAGAGAATTTACCTTACCGATATTAAAGTGTTTTATAAAGCCTAACTGATCAAAACAATGCATTATTGTCATAGAAAAAGACTATTAAATAATAAAAACATAATAGGAAGCTCAGAAATATAGCTCAATACATCACTGTTTATTCATTCGGAGGAAAAAAGTGTTGGGCCTCTAACTCATGGCATAAAATAAATTCTAGATGGATTAAAAAAGTAAATATAAAATAATAGATAATCTATAAGAAAATTAAGAGATATGCATAACTTCTATCTCTTAATTTTTCATATTGTAAAGTTTTTTATTTTCCCTGTTGTAAGGGTTCTGAGAAGAGCTGTGCATGAAAAGTTTGGAAATCCTTAAAAATGGAAGCTATAAATAAAAGCTGTCATAAAAGATGCCTATATTTGACTATATAAAATTTATAATATTTCTGCATAAAAAGACAACATAGATAAAGGGAAACCACTGAGATAAAGAAGATAATTTCAAGTGCATATAATGTAAAGTACTCTTACAAATCAACAAGGCATTACAGAAATTACCAACAGACAGTTAACAGAAAACAAGTGTAAATGATTATTTGAAAAAAAAAAAAATAGACAACCTTCAGCAAGTTCTAGCTAGTAAAAACAAAAAAGATACAACTAAACAACTTTGGAGATGAGAAAAGAGAAAAAGCTACATATATGAAGATAATTTTAAATTATACAAGAATACTACATATAATTTTAAAGTAAGAATTTGAAATCATGATGAGATACATGGTATTTTTTACAAAATCTATATGATTAAATGGATTGAAGAAGTGGTAGAGTAGTTGATAGAATAATTACCATGAGAGAAAAAGAAAATCTAAACTACCTCCCAAAATGATGCCTGGAAAGACTATCTAATGGAAAAACTTTTGCCAAATAATCAAGGAAAGAATATTTTACAAAACCGTTGCAATACACAGAGAGAGATGAAAAGTTTTATAAATATTTGATCAGAGTGGCATAATTCTATAGTTAATATTATTTATGAATATGTATTAAAAAGTTTAAATAAAACTAACAAACTAAATGCAGCACTGTGGTTGTATATTACTACATTAGGATTAAATAGACTTGTATCTCTAGTAACATAATTACATTACAAAATTAATTTATTAATGAAGAAAATAATATAGAATAATGTTGAAAATATAATTTGAAACATCAATTTTTGATTGAAAACATTCTGAATTAGTCTAAAGTTAACAGAAATTATAGCAAGTAATAAATATACTGAAAAAGCATTTGATAAAATTTAAAACCCTTCCTGATTTAAAACCAAAGAGAATTCTAAGAAAGTGACAAAGAGAAATCCCTTAACTGGATGAAGGGTATCTAGCAGAAACATATAGTGATATCGTACTCAACGAGGAAACATGAGAAGAATTTCCATCAAAATCATTAAGAAATAATGTTAATTCATCCTTACACTGGAGAGCTCAACCACTACAATGAGATCCTAAGTCTGAGAGCTAAGGCTCTACAATTTGATAGCTGTTTTAAATCTTTCTTCTGTAATTTACGAACACTGTAAATCTGAACAGATAACACATCTATGCCTCTGTTTACTCATCTGTAAAACAGAAATAATAAGTTACTGTATATAACTATTATGATAATCGAATGAGAAAATATATAAAAAATATTTGCCCAGTGCTAAAACATCATGAATATAAACCAAATCTTAGTCACTATTATGATAAGAAAGTAAAAGAGATAAAGCCACTATTTGCAAATATATTGCCTAGCTATAGAATCAAGAAAGAAAATAAACTATAAAAACAGAGTAAATAATGTTGAGTCAGGCAACTGGATGCATGAATAACCTTAAAATCAAGATAGCTTTTCCTATATTGCAGTGATCAACAATGTCTTGCAAATGAACAATTGCAATAATATCTTGCAAGACAAACAGTTAAAGTTACAAAATGCAAAGGCTTAGAGAAAGCTAATGTGAAATGTGCAAGATTTTTATGAAGACAATCATAGAATGTTATTGAATAAAATGAGAATTATAAAAAAGCACTATAAAAAGGAAAAGGCTTTGTGAAACAATGAGCTTCTTATTTCTGTTAGGGTTTGAGCAGATGTTGAATGACCAGAGGTATGTCAAAAGTAAGTTTGAAATGGTTAGTTCCAACTATAAGCTTCTTTGAAACACCTTAAATAATTATATCATTTGTCTATTATACCACAGGAATCATTTTTTTCTAAAATATAAGCCGGAGAATTCAATAGATTAGCAATAAAAAGAGTAATTTGTATACTGTATTATGTAATATTAGGCGATCTAATTACCTAATACTTTATATAATATTTTAAGAATAAATATATTGGTCTTTCTGGAAAACACATGGGAGGTGTTGCTTGTCATTAGATTTTAACTAAGACTTTACTTACTAGAAGCATTTCTGATTGTTGGCTTAACACTCCTCTCTCTATGTCTGGCATTTTTATTATCCTCCTCCTTTGTTATACTTTTGTCAAATTGTGTGAGAACCACAGTAGGTGTAGTAAATGAATGTAAAAACTGTACTTTAACTGTAAATATCTACATGAAAAACAGATCAAACTATTATAAAACCATAGCACTGTGGATAAAAATATACAATAAAAATGTTACTTGGTTTGAACTCTGCAAATTAGATAAGAGAACTAGCTTAAATGTCACCTCTTCTGCAAATCCTACTGTTATGGACTGAGTTGTGTTCTCCAAATTTATATATTGAAGTTCTACTCCTAAATGTGACTATATTTGAAGATAGAGACTTTTAGGAGGTGATTAGGGTTAAATGAAGTCATAGAGTGGGGCTTTAATCCAATAGGATTAAAGTCTTTATAAGAAGAGGAAGAGACACAAGGAGAGTGTGTACACAGATAAAAGGCCATGTGAGAACACAGTGAGAAAACAACCATCTCCAAGCCAAGGAGAGAAGCCATAAGCTAACCCCGCTAACACTTTCATTTTGAACTTCCAGCTTCCGGAACTGTAAGAAAACAAATTTCTGTTGTTTAAGTTGTGGTCTTCTGTTATGGCAGTCTGAGTTAATACATCTTCCTATAGTTCCACTCACCCACCTAATCTATTTCTTCCCTCTGTGTTCTTCTTCAGAATATTGTCTTTCATGATACTGACTCTTATGTATCTCTTTCTTGCACTAGCTGGCAACCTCAAGAATAAGAATTTGCTGTATTTACTTTTATATTCAAGAATATGCTGTATTTACTTTTATATTCAACCTCAAGAATAAGAATATGCTGTATTTACTTTTATATTCAATAACTATTATAAAACTAAGTAAACACTACCAACAATAAGAAAATATTTTGTATTAACAAGCATCTTCCTAAAATATACAAATGCCTTTGACAGAGTTGAGAAACTTAATTACTCATGTAAATGGGATTTGATTCAACTTGCTTTCCTCTTAAATTCCACTTGATAAAGGATTTATTGAGCAAATGGGCTTCTGTTTGGAAGAGATAGCTGTTAGATCACTTTAGTGCATAGAGTAGAAGATGTGAGTACTCAGGCCTGGGTATTGAGGGGGAAATGTGAGTAGCTGAACTAGTAGGGAATTCCCCTTATCATCTTGCACCAGGTTCCTCAAATCTGTTACGTCCAGTGCTGGACAGGCCCACCCCAATTTGAAGCACAAGGTGATATTATATTATTATGTATAGTTTTTTAAAAATCAAAATAGGATCTCATTCAAGATGATACCAAAGATATAGTTCTTTGACACTGTCTTCTATAATTTACTTTTTTCTATTAAGTTTTTAAATGTTGGTTTCCATCATTTTTTTGTCCCCTCTTTTCTAAGTATTATTCCTGGGCAATTTTATCCATGACTGATGTTTCAAAAAATTGTAACTAAGTAATCTTCCCTCTTGAGCTCCACTTAGAATTCCATACTCACCTCAATCTCTATGTATCCAAATGGAATTCATTATTTTTCCCCTCCAAAACTACTTCTTCCTTACATTTCATATGTGTCTTAGTCAGCTTGGGCTGCCATAACAAAATACCATAGACTGAGTGGCTTAAACAACAGGAGTTTATTTTCTTACCATTCTGGAGGGTGGGAAGTCCAAGATCAAGGTACAGGGCCATTGGATTCCTGGTAAGAGTTCTCTTCCCAGATGGTCATCTCTCTGTGTCCTCACATGGCAGAGGGTGAGCAAGCTCTATGGTGTCTCCTCTTATAAGGACACTAATCCTATTGAATCAGGACTCCTCCTTTCTGATCTCATTTAACCTTAATTACTTCCTTACTCCAAATATAGCCACACTAGGGTTAGGGCTTCCATAACAATATGAATGCCAATTCTACAAACTCATTTGCCTAAACCAAACACTTGAAATTTAATAACTTTCCTTCACCATGCTGATCCCAATTACTGATCAAGTGTTATCAACTTGCATCTTTAGTGTCTCTGTCATAAATTATCTCCTCAACTTAGGTCAGAATATCTTCATGTCTTTCCTATGATATTGTCTTAACTCTTCTTCCTATCTTCAGACTTACATAGTCTTTTAACCACAAGTAGTCCATCTTTTACGCTGCTTTTATATAGACTTCTTCAAATGTAAACCTTATCCTGTTTCTCACAGTTTCTTGGTAGTCTGGACACTGGCTACCTCTCTTGTTTCAACTCCTGTAGCAGTCCTCCTTCCCCCTATGCTTCACGTGCCCAAGGTGTGCGGTGATGTTTGTGTGTGTGACGCCTCTGTACCTTTGCTCTTGCTGTTTCCTTTGTCTAGAATGCCTTTCTCTCTTGATCAAATATATCAGATTTAGCTGTAGTGACACTTCCTTTTGAAAACTTTTCCTTACTCCTCCTGGTAGACATAGATTCCCTATATAGTATTCCTACTATTCTCCCTAGGCATTTCTATAAAAAACATAGACCACCATATTGAACTAGGTGATTACATGTCATATTCCCTGCTATCATATTCAAAGATATTAAGTCAAAGGACATATATTTTGACATTTTCTGCGTCTAGCTTAATGCATGACACTTAATGCATACATACTGAATGAATGCATGAGTAAAAGAGAAAATGGAAATGAGTGATCTAAATTAATTAAATTCAGAAAAAAAACATTTTATGTAAGAAAATAAGGACTTTTACCATGAAATATTTTTCCATCTCCATAAAATCCTTTTGGATATGAACCACAATGGTAGGAAGCAAAGGTATCGAGGCATTCTATTCCTGGAAAGCAAGGCTTGGATTCACACTCATCAACATCTTCCTGGCAATTTTTGCCTAAATAAAATATAGGTTGAGTGTTCAAATGATTTAGATTGAAAAACAATATATGTCCAATCAAGTGCTCATTATTTGGTTTCTTTTGCTGTTTACGTATGTCCTCCTAACTCCCCAAAAAAGTTGTTATACTGTTTTTAAAACTTATTATATAATTGAATATAAAATAATTAATTAGATTCTATTTAATATTAAACCAGATCTTCAATTACATAAGAATTTCCCTATACATAAGAAGACTTCAGAAGTCCATTAATATTTTAGGGCAAAAAATTACTATATTACAGTAGTGATTTGAACTTTGTTTAAAAATTCAGTAACATATATATTTTTAACTTATTAGAATGGTTGCCTGCTTAACTTAAGAACTACTTATTCAGTCTCATATTTCATTGGCTGTGAAAATCCATGAAAATCTCAGTGTGCTGGGACAATCAGTCTTTCCTCAATAAAATTTTTGAGATGAAGTGTTGTACTTTGAAATGTTTAACAACTCTTTTGATTGAATAAATTCATAGTCATAAATGGATGGTAACTCATTATAGTAAAATCCATGAAGTCATCAACATTTGAATTCTTCCAAATGTATTCTGTAGCATAATAGTCCCAAATGAAAAAATTGTTATTTTAAAATGCTGAAGAAAATTAGAGAACAACTAAATATTCTTCTTAGTTCTATTATAATGTTAAAATAAATGCCTTAAAGAGAGATATCAGATCAATAGCTGCGTATTTTCTTATTTAATATTTACATCTATTTAGATTAACTAAAATATTAGCATGAGTTTTTTAAAAGCTCTGGGAAATTAAAGGTTGTCATTTATATATTTGAGATTTCTGGAATCAGACATTTTAGGACAATTAAGAGTTAACAAATATGTGAACATTTTATATGATTTCAAATCTAACTTTATATCATGATATTTCTGTTAATGAATTAATAAAACCTCTCTTAAATGATGACTTTTTAATATTTTCTATGGCCATTTTCTTTATTCCATATTATATTTTAATATATATTTTACCTACCAAATATAGATAGAAATGTTTAGAAACCTGAAAAACACAATATACACATAGAATGTTTCTATTAAAATTATAAAAATGAAAAAAAATTGTAAGAATACATATATGCAAGAAATTTACAATAAAAAAAGGGATATGGATAGCAAATATATTTGTGATGACTTTTACTATAATTTTTAAATGTGTGTTAAAAATTTTAAGACCATCCATTTGCTTGGGTAATCTAAAGATGAAGGTTCTAAGGAGCTTTCCTTTCTAATTTGTTCACATAATAATTTTGTTCATGAGGAACCAAAACTTACCTTTGATCTCAGGTGGACAATCACAGGAATAATTGTGAAATCTACCAATACACCTGCCAAGGCCACAGGGGTTCGACTGGCACTCAATGGCATCTACTTCACAAAGATTGCCCTGGAAGCCAGGAAAGCAGACACACAGGTATGCTCCATTTCTTGGAGGAAATTTAATATCAGACACACATGATCCATCATTTAAGCAATCACAAGACTTCACAGTCAACTGAAAAGAAACAAAAAATAAATGCTTTATTTTGTGATAAAATCATCTTCAGTTTATGCCCAGAAGTCATGATAGACATGTATGTTTATGTACAAGTAGGACCAGATCACACATTTTTTGCAAAAATATGTATATTTAATATAAAATAGTATATAAAAATAGTTTGATAAGACAATTATGTTTACTCTCAAGAGCAATCCAAAATATAAATGCTAGAAATAATTTTTTTAAATATTATATGATAATCAATTTCTGTAATGCAAGCGGAACACAAGAAAAAAATTCTTTAAGGTGGACAGAAGTTAATCACCAATCTAGATAGTAAACAGTCACTTGGTTATCATGATACCACAACATAGTACATAACTGCCCTTCATAATATTACTTCTGTGTGAAAGTGTTTCCCAAGTTTCAAGTGAATATGGGCACAAAAGAACAGTATTGGGAGCTCGAAGCTGACAAAAATCAAAACAGTCAATTTAAAAAAGAAGACATAGTTCAGTTATTTCAAATCTTATATTTATATTCTTGATTTTATAATTCAACATCTAAAATTCCTTCACTTGAAAGATAAAAGCATGTTGACTCTGAAAAGAAATAACCTGCCAAGAAGAGATCCTTGTGGTTAATGAGGCTGAAATGCATAACCAGAGTCTAGAAGCTATTGCTGGCAGATGCCTCACATGAACACATTTCAAGAAAAAAGACAGACTGAGTTGCCTGCCTCCTGCTCTTTGTTCCTGCCATCTGAGCTGACCCTTAAAAGGGAATTCCTGAGATTGTCTTTCCACTACTAGGCTGAGACAGGCCCTGTCCAATCAGAACTGCATGGTTATATCCTCATTTGCATCTTTACTGACCAATTAGAGCAGCTCCATAATGACCAATTAAAATGCACAACTCCAACCAATCAAGACAATGCTATTTGGACCAATCAGATTGTGTAAATTTGGAATCCTAATTTGCATATAAATGCACCAATCAGGGACTAGGGTGGGAACTTTCCTTATAAAAGTGGCCTTCCCGCTTATTGCAGCAGAGTGTGCTTTTGATGTCTTCAGGAGGCTCTGTCTTCCTGGCTTGCAAACTGTTTATATGAGTAAAATTTACCCTTTTACCTCACCAAGACTGGGGACTCTTGTGGGCTTTAGATTGATGCCAGTGACATTTTATTGACAGGTATCAATCTTAGATTAATCATAGATCTTTCATATTTAATGACATGAATGAGTTTTCTATCCTTGTCATAATTAAGTCCAGAGGAAAATAGTCTAGGATTTAGTAATGCAGCTCTGTGCTCTAGACTTAAACCTCTCTGTAAGGTTTTAAATTCTTACAGAAATAAGCAAAATTTTGGCAGTTTAATTTTCCATGAAATATTTAATAATTTAGTTCTTATTCATTAATTCAGAATATAAATTTTATTTTAAATTTAAAATAGTTATTAATTGAGTGACATTTATGTAATTGTAAATAATACCTCAATTGTGACTTAGTTTCAGTGTTGCAGTCATTGCTAATGGGGAGAGTGAGTTGCTGGGGAGTTTGAGATGCTTTCTACATAAGAAGTCCTGCAGTGGAAACATTTGCTTCTTCAGGACAAGAGAACAAGGTAAAATGAATGTCAGAGCCTTTTGGATCAAAAACCATGAACTGGTACACAATGTTTTCTCCATAAAATGTCTGTAATTTGTCTTGCTGTATTTGAATTACAGGGTTTGGTTGTCTGTAACAGAGAAAACATTTACTTTTTGTATCTGTTTAGAAAAGGAAGAGGAAAAGTTTGATACAGAGAGCTCCCATTGAGACAGACTTTTGATAAAGTTTAAAATTTGCTAAAATTTCTATTACCTGTCTTCACTTTTTCTAAAACATTTCAAATAAATTCAACCCCATTCTTAGAAAATGTAAACATAAATGACAGGTACAAACTTCAAGCTTTGTTATGAGAATGTGAAAACACTTTGAATATAGCATAAAATGCATTTGCATTGCCCAGATTGGATGTACTGTCTCTTCTGTCTGAAATAGTGTTGGCAGTCTCACTGTTTGCTTTCATTCTCTATTTGCCCTCTGTCCTTTTCAGCTTTATTTTCTTTCTCTACACTCCCCGCCCACCTACCTTCTCTATTTGTCGCTTCCTCTCCACGAGTGGATGATTCATTTGGCTCTCCTGAACTTTCCTTGATGTATCTGCTGCACCAATTACAATAATTGGAAGCCATTAGTCATTGCAAATCATCTGCTCCTCAGAAGTCCTTGTGGTGGCTGAGCTCACACACTGCAATGGTGGTCATTTTAGGGCACAGAGCGTTATCTTTGTGCTCATGAAAAGATTTAAAACATATTTTATATTGTATTATATTTTAAATGTCCATTTTTCTTGCCCATGTGCTTAGTAGATAAAAAGAATAGCTTTATTTCATTACACTAGGCACAAACACTCTGCTTCCATCAAGAAAGCACTGATGCTAAGAGACAGTAGTTTTAGCTCCCATTCTTCCTCTGTATATATAAATATATTTACATGATTTACTGATTTTAACTTCCTCAACCTCAATATGAGGGGTTTGGAACACATATTTCAAGACCCATTATATGTTTGAACATTGTGAGTCTTTGAAGAATACCAAAGCCATTAAAAACATAGATACCAATTCAGAAGTTATATTGTGGTTTCCCTTATCTCTTGCACTAAATTCTCCCCCGAATTTCCATTGTGTTCCCATAATATTTCATAAGTCTTGCATCTGAGCAATGAATCATCTGACATATGGTTTGGCACAGTAATTAAATTTGCACATACAATAACATATATAGTGATATTACAAAGTACTATATAAATATAAGGTTTTAGGACTCCCTTAGATAAAATTACATTGGACCAGGGAGTAATTATTAGTAATTATATCTTGTATCTTATGATGCCTGGTCTTTTGACTACTGAAAGAGAATGCGAGGAATACCCATGTGGAATTATACATAGTTGTATTTAGGGAAGTGAAGAAATTGTATGATATGTGACTCTAATTTGTTTTTGGTTTTTTTTTTTTTTTTTAGTGTGATGAAGTATCCAGACATTGTACCAATATTATACTCACAGAGTCACAGAATGATGGGGCTGGAAGGCATGCTGTACATTATCAAGTCCAGATAATCTTATTTAACAAGTGATAAATATGTGGCTTCTGGCACTTAAATGGTTTTAAATGCCTTGTCACAAAACTGAAAAGAGGCGAGGCTAACAATAGGATTTAGACTTTTGGTGTCAAAGTAATGTTCTCTCTCCACAAAACCCATCAATCTTTACTGATAGACATTTCGACTACTTAAGTGGTGTTTGAGAGGCCATTTTGCTAGTAGCAATATGACTTGGACAAATTGTGTGTAGTTGAATTAACAATTCCCATTTCTTTCATTAATAATTCACATTTGCTTTCCTTATCAAATATTAAAATACAAATCCCATACCCTAATGTAGTATAATCATAGAGATTATATAAAATAAAAACATTTCATATTATATTTCCTTCCAGTAGAGTAAATTATGCAGTTATGAAACTAAATACAGTGTTCATGTTAAACACATTTATGTAACTTGTGGTTTAAAAATCACTTAAAATTATGTTCTATAACAAATATTTAAATTAATAAAGAATAACTTTCTAAAAATTACCACGTAAATTTTTAAATCTTAGGTCTACAAATCAAACAAGGGCTGGTAGGACCTTTATCTCCTTCAATGTAGCAGAGGCCATCAATAATGCAAATATTTTCCTAATAAAAAATTAAAAATAATTTTTAAAACAGAAAAACACCAATCGAGATATAGTTAGTGTTCTGAAAAAAAAAAAAATTTACAAAGAAGAAGAGCAGCATATATATCAATGATTCCAATGAAAGTATATCATAAATCTCTTTTGGTTAGGACAAATTTTTTCATATCTTCTAGTCATAAATGCGTGTTAGGAAACAAATAATTTCCTTTATGTATAAATGCTCATGGAACAGATCAGTATGGAGAAAATAAGAAAATACATATAGTTGGATCTCTGAGCAGAATTATAATTTATAGCTTATAAATAACATAGAAGAAATTTTTTTTCTTTCCATCCTTTTTACTACTAAACTCATGTTGAAAGTGTTTTATTAATATATATATTAAAAAAAGTGAAACAGATCTTTATTTCCAGCACATCTTATAGAATCACATTAGTTTATAGTTATCCTCCCTTCTTCTAGGAGTCCACTATGTGCTGTGAATATAGCAAAACTAAACTAGATCCATGGCATAATTATCTACACATGACAATGAATATCATTATACAAAATAGTGGAAAGAAATGCTGACATGCACAGAAATATTAAATGTAACAATTATTTCTAACCTGGGAAGAAGACTAAATTTTGTTAAGGGTATATAAATTTAGTTCACTTTATAAAATTTCCTTTGACATTACTTGGAACATTGCATAAAAATTAGAACAAAATAGCTCAAGAGGATAAAATAACCATGAATAATATAATTTTAAAGTACTTATTGAAGGACAAGTAGAAATAAAATATTTCGGGGAAAATAGAAAACAATTCAAAAACAAAAACATTCTTATTGATAGATTCTGATTGCTAATCTTAAAAAACATTTAAAATTTCAAAATAATATTTTAAATTTTTTATACACGTAAATATTATTTGATGTATCCTTAAGTTTTAAAGAGCCAAGTGATATTAGATCCATAGCATCTGTGAAATATGCACCTGCCATGTGAGAGAGACTTGTTGATAAACCCAGTAGAGTGGATATAGATAAAAGGGTGTGGCTATGAGGATTCAGCTCAGGCTGTGTTGTTCTGTACCTCTAAAGTGGTAGGTATTTACATGGTTTAATGAATTTAGTTGACACAAAAAATTCTCTGTAAAAATGCTAGTCCTATACTTTTTACAGACCCTACGCAAATGCATGTCATTTGCCACAAAGAGATTAGGTAACCACAAAGAGATATCTTTTGGAAAATGATTATAACAACTTAAAAAACAAGGTATGTAACATTTCAAAATGTTAAGGGTAGAAATCTCTTCCTTGCCATTTGGAACAAGAGTTAGGGACAGAGTAACAATTTCAATTAACCTTGTATAAATTTAAGGAAGAATTTTCTGTATTAGTGTTTCAGATATGAAGGTTTTAAAACTACATTAATATGTTGACATGGAAAATGAAAATGTCTATGATGAAAGTGTAAAAATAAGTGAAAAAATACATACCTTTGTAGTGCATGAGTTCTTTTCATAGAGACCACAAATTTCACAAGCCCGTCATATATGATCATTATTTTGGGATTACTGAAGCTGTGACCATCATTAGATACCTGTGAGATGTAGTTCTGTCATAAGATAATTTGTTCCAAATGTAGCTTCATAAATTATGAAATTTTAATACATAAGTCTTTATGTGTAAATATATGGATATCTTTTCTTTTTTACCTTTAATTGCCACTTCATAATTGATTTTTCACCCATGAGATCCATGATACCAGACTGATGAATATCAATAGGCAGCTGACAATCAACAGTTCTGCTGTTTTGAAAAACAGTATGTGCATAGACAGCTTCTCCAAGGACCCATTTACTGCTATTTTACTGAAAGCATAATGAGAAAACAAACTCTGTTAAAGTATAGGAATATTTTGCTAGTGAATTACATACAAATTTGGTCAACATACAAATTTGAAAATACCTGGTATTATGAAATATATAATAAATTAACAAAAGTGAGTTTCATTCAGAATAATAAAAAATGTATACATCTTTATCTGATGTAAACTGCTCCTAATGACTCACACCTTTCTTGCAGTTCAAATCAAAGAAGTTACCAATATTGGCCATATATACAATGGATCACTATGTAATGACTTTTGTAGCAAGAGGAAACACGCTTGATTAAGTAGATGACACAGAGTGCACTGATTTTCTGCCCACAAACTTTGTAACTTCTCCTGAAAAAGCTCCCACTTTCCACTTCTACTTAAAACTGTCTATTCTGCCCTCCCTTCATATGTTCCCACAGAACCTTTTATATGACCCACTTCCCTGACTACACTTGACTGGTCCAAGGGTAGACTTAAGCTGATCCAATGCTTAGATTACTTGAGATATTAACTTTGTACTGGAGGGGACATTGGGCAATTCTGCCTCTGATGTCTTGAGTAGCAAGAAACAAAACTATGGAGCTGTTGGCAGCTATGTTTTTTACTATGTGGCCAAAGCCAGTATCTAGTGAAAGGGAAAAATGAAGCCCACAGACTCAGAAAAACAGAACTGAGACAGACAGATACATCACACACATTTTAAATGCATACATACTGAGTCTCCGTAGTGTTTTTCTCTGAGAATTGAGCTACATTTTTATCCTTGATTCTGTGAGAAACATACGGTCCTCATGATAAATAATTTTTACTCAAGATAGTTCAAATTAATTTATGTAACTTGAAACAAAATAAATCCTACTCAGTTCACTGTATTTAATAATTATGCTGAGTGAAATAAGTCAAACAAAGATAAATACCATATGATTTCACTAATATATAGAATATAAGGAACAAAAAAAAACCAAACTAATCAAAAATAAACTCACAAATATAGTGGACAATTTTAGTGATGGATGGGGGAGGCAGTTGAGGGCTGGGAGAATGGATGAAGGGTTAAAAAAGTACAAATTAGTAGTTGATAGATGGTCACAGGGATGGGGAGCACAGCTTAGGGAATGCAGTTAGCATTAATATATTGGCTAGGTGGAAAACCAGAGGAGAGAAGGAGCAATTGGGATCATTTTATAAACTATATAAATGTCTAATGTACTGTATACTTGCAACTAATTAAAATAAATTTATAAAAAATATTAATTCACTGGTATGTCATGATTAACCTATACATTAAGTATTTTTCAGTATTGAAAACGGATTGGGATCTAAAGAGAAAAAAAAAACAGAATAATTTTCTGGGTACTGGTAACTACATAGAAAACTGAAAGGATATATTTCATTGCCAAAATTTAGATTTCGATATTTTGAAAATTTGTACTGTAGAATGCTTTTAATCATTCAAAAAATGGTCATGGAGCTTGCTGATACTTCAATATTGAAAATCAGTAGGAAAAGGAAAGGAAGGCAAGAACATGCTAATCTGCAGCTAGTAGAAACTATCTTGCTAAAGATTTGATAATTGAGAGTGGGCCTCAGTATGAATCTCCATATTTAAGAGGATTATACAGTCCAGTCTAGCAGATTTGTCAGTGATTCCCCTCTAGCAGAGGAGCTTGACAACAATGTCTCAGGGTAGTCATGATATTGACACTTAGATGAATACAGTGTCTCTTGGTTTCATGTGTTAAAACAAGACTGCAACCAACGACTGGGAATATAAGGGTCATTTCCATCCCTCTGTTTGGAGGGCCCTACCCAAAATGAGCAATGAATAGGGTTCTATTTCTTTGCCATTCATCAGTATTTGAGAGTATCTACATGTGCTGATGAAGAGAGATAACAGGAAAAGACAAATAAAACATATTTTTATTATTGCTATAACCAAGATTCAAATAAGGTATAGTGAGAGAGAAAGAAGATATTAAGCCTAACTAGCATAGTCAAGGAAGGCTTCAAAAAAAAAATGACATTTCTCTTCCTGACACTGGGAGCAGAAATGGAGAGAATGCTTTTCAGCTTGGCTGAAGGGAATAGCATATGAAAAGACAGGGATGCATGGAACAGCATGGTATTTTAGTACAGCACATGAAGGATGTTCATGTCTCCAAAAACAGGCGAGAGCCAGATCATGAAGGGTCATTCATTTCTAGGATAACAACTTAAATTTAATCCTATAATTAAGTTTAAAACTGAGATTCTGTAGAAATTCTGTAGAGGTTGCTTTTTCAGGAGGGAGTGAAGAAAAACATTGGTAGTTTGATCTCTAGCTACAAATATTTAAAATTATTACTTCCAAGGTAGAAAAGAGCATCTATAATATGTTCCCCTTCATGTAAAAGAGAGGGATGTACCTTTTCTTTTGTACAAAAGAAATACATTAAGATTATACCAGAAAATAATTAGAGTGGACACCTTCAGGGGATGGAGATAGGGATGAGAAGACAGTGACATTTCTCTGTGTATACCTTTTGAATGGTGTCAGCTCTTGGAACCATGACAATATTTTGCATACCTTCCAAACAAGTAAATAACAAAAATCAACCAGAGTGTGCAGGAAATTCACAATGGAGTACAGGTATTTAAAAATAAACCTAATTGGATGACAAAGGAAATTCATAAACACCGAACAGGATGGAAAAAGAAAATAGCTAATCTAAGTAAATTTGGTTTTGGCTAGTAAACATATATTTTTTTTTCTATAGCTCAATATAGTGTGTTAGAGAATTCCAGAATGTACTCTATTTATCAGCTCTTTGGAGGAGGGAAACTGTTTGAGAATAAACATTACAGCCAGTAATATGCCTAAAAGTAAGTACAAAATGTACTTTCCAAGAGAATATAAGCTATAAAATTCTCTCTTGGCAAATCATTTAATAGTAGAGTAATGTCATATAATTTATTCTGCCAAGAAAAATAAAATATCTACTCTCCTGAGTGACATTGAAGCAAATAAATTTATACATATATTACATTTTCTATTGTGTAACTTATTATTTCATTGACGTTAAAATATTTCATGACTCAGAAAGATTGTACTCATAAAATCCTGAAGTAAACATACATCTTTAGTATAACTATTTGACAAAAAACATATACAAAAGTTATTTCCTCCTGTAAATTTTCAGTCTGAGGATTACATTTGGTTTTATCGATTTAGAGAAAAATAAAAAGAACGTTAAAATATGATTTGCTGTTTTGTTTTTAACTTACCTATGTAAAAACGTTCTAAATTCAAAGAGCTTTCTTTAAAATAAAATTCTACTTGAATAAAAAAAAATAAGAAAAATAAGACTATTAATAATCATCAAAAATAAGGTATGTTCAAAATGAGTAGTCGCATCTGTGATAGTTTACTAGAGTTAACAAATAGGAAAGCTTAAAGGTTAAGCAATTTAATCATTTTTCTGTTCACCTCTCTGTGGCTATAATACCTTTTGGGATTATGTTACTAATTGATACACCAAACTAATCCAAAATAAAATTAATCTGAATAACTCATAAACTTAATTGTTTTTCAACTCTGTAGTGAACATACCTGCCGTTTAGTAACTTCACATTTAAATGAAAGTGATTCTTTGAAGCCTTGACTAAAAACTCTCGCCATCATACAATTATATTTTCAAACATTACAGAATCCAGCATACTCAAGCTCTATAATTTCAGGAGTCTTGTCTTTGGAAAAAAAATGATAACAAAATAAGACATATATTCTTTAATTTCAGCAAAAAATAATAATTTTCAAGGGCCAAATTAAAAACATGTAAAATAATATTTCAAAGTCTATCCCACATATTAATACAGTAATTAAACCATTAAATGTTAAGAGTAATCTTATATGAAAAGAGATGTTATCTATCATCAAACTAATAAAAATAGTATGACAGATACTACCAGTGCCTAAATACACAGGTTTAATTAATGTTTTAATTAATGTTGATATCAATTAAGGACAAATATTAAGAAATTACTACTATGATAGCTTACATTTTGGTTTTGGAATTTTGGTTTATGTCCAATATATGGGTTATAAGAAAAATATTTTTGTAATAAAATAGTGTAGTAAACAATGTAATGTATTAAACATTTTTTTAAATCTTTAATTTAAACTTTAGAAAAGAGTTATCAAAATTCATGTATGCTATCATTCTAATATTGGTGATGTTTTTATGTATTATTGCTATTGTGCATGCTACCATAATCTTAGGTGTACTTCTCAGTCATAGAAGAAAAATTTCTTCTAGCCATCAGAGCTAACTGACCTTCACTTGGTTATATCTCCGGTCTTAGTAAGATCACATATTACATAAGCAAGATCTGGTTGTCAAAATAGATCAATGCAATACATAAAAGTAATTTTGTCTAAGTACTGGCAATATCTAAGTGAGTATAACTTTACTAGCAATAGGATACAAAACCATAATGTAGGTGTACCCAGAACCCTAGAAACATCTACAAAAAATTTTTAAAAAATGTTAGTTTATTTCTTTGTATATTTAACAAATGATTATTGAGCAACTTCTATTTTTCTGGTATTATTCTAAGTACTGGGAATACAGTAATGAATACAACAAAATTCCTAACTTCACATAACTTGCATACTAATAATGTGAAGACAAAAAATAAACAAATGAAAAATGAATATAAAGCATATAAGTATTTTCAAGTCTATGGAGAAAAAAGTATATTAACTATATTAAGTATGATAAAGACTATAGGGTTGTGTGAGAAAAAGTATTTCATTTTAAATGACTTGAAAGGATTATCTTGTAATATGATATTTGAACAGAGATGAAAAAGAAGTCAGTCATGAAGGTTGTGGTGGAAGAATGCTCCAGTGGAGGGAGCTGTAAGTACTAAGGTCCTGAGTTAGGAGAAGGTTGGCCTCTGTGAGGACAGCCAGCAGCCACTTGAGAACACTGGAGAACAGTGAGTTGCGGAGAGAATGGTAGATGAATTCAATGAGAGAGGAGCTTCAGGTTACATAGGGTCTTCCAGGCCATGGTAGGGACTGTGCATTTTACTTGGAAGGAGATGGAGAGTCATTATAAGGTTTTAAGTAGAGAAGTAATATGGTCTGATTTATATTTCAAAGGGATCATTTTAGCTGCACATAGAGTATAAAATCGAGAGAATCTATAATAACTCAGGTAATAGATAATGGTGGCGTAGACTGTAGCAGGAAAAAAAATAAAATTATTTGAAGCTAGAGCTGGATTTTCTAACGTATTTCCTAACGTATTAATGGATTTACTAATGAATTAGACATGAGGATGAGGAAAAAAAGAAAAGTCAAAATGACTATACATTTTTTTAATAGGCGAAGCAACTCTTGGTTGACCTCACAGATTGCAAGGATCTTGTCAGCTTACAATCCTTTATTTTTAATTTTTTTTACGCCTACACCACCTGGTCTTCCTAGGTGGTCTCCCATCCAGTACTAACCAGGCCCAACCCTGCTTAGCTTCCGAGATCAGATGGGATCGGCTTGATCAGGGTGGCATGGCTGTAGACGACTATACATTTTTAATGTGAGCAATTAGAGGAATGAACTGTGCATTTACTGAGATGGAAAAGTCTGCAGTTGGAAAACATGGTAGGAGGAAAATGTCTTTCTTTAATATATTGAGACAAAGTCTGTCCCATATAAGTGGGTTATAGAGAAAAATTTAAAAAATTAGTATAATTAGTGAAATATTATAAACAATGCTTTAAAAATACTAAATTTGGGTTCTAGAAAAACTTATTTTCTGCCAGTAGAGGCACCAGCTGTGTGCCAAGGCCCCTAGGTCAAGATAACCAGGAATTTTCAACAAATAGCACAGAGACCAAAGTGGGAGGAGTGATATGAGTGAGAGCGATAGTAGTAGAATATGACTGTTGACAGATATTGTGGTAGATCACATTGTGCCTTATACTTCAGCTTTTACTTTAAATAAAATGTGACATTTTTGAAAAATTATTACTATATTAGTTAATATAATTTGTTTTATCCCCCTGTATTATCTGAACAAACCCTGTTAAAATCCTGAAGGTAAAAAAGAACAAAGATGTAACATTCACAATATCAAAGTAATGAGTTCTTACCATGTGAATCACTGCAATCATAGGAACTAAAGCCTGGGGAACATGTGCATGCCTATTGCATACACTGCCCATCACCACAGCATCAATTAGGGCATTTCAGTACCAAGAGAATGTTTTCAATCAATTTGCCATGTTCTTTTGTGTTTTATTTCCCCTCTTTCAAAAATCCTTTCACATTTATTTTCTAAAAGGGCCACACCTGCTTCTGCCCAGCTAAGACCATGTTTTAGGAGAACATCCTTAACACTGTCTAGTCTCTTTCCAAGAAAGGCAGTGCTTTTCTATGCTGGAGTTGGCTAGAGTCTGTTGACACAATACCAACAAGCTGTATTCTGTGCAGCCAGAGGGTGTGGGCCACATGGGGACAAACTCTTTGTGGATATCCTCTGTATGTTCCTCAGAGAAAAAATAAGTAAATTCTCCCAGGTCACTCTGGTTGAGACTTTGGAAAGCAAACAAAGGAAGAAACTCATAAACATTTTGCTGTGTCCACCTGTTTTGTCGATGCCACCCTGTTTCTTAACTGTGGTTAAGCTGGCTCTGTGTGTGTGTCTCATTGCCCAAAGTTTTTAGTGCATCTTGTTTCCCATTTTCAGGAAGTTTTTGTAAATTTAAATCCAGTTTGATTAGGTTCATGTCCTTTGTTTCTTGAGGAAAGAAATTCAAATTATTTTCTTCTCTAGAAAATATGCTTGTTTTTCCTTCTGACAAGAGCTTCTAAATTAATATATTTAGAGGTGATATCTAGTTTTGGTATTAAGGAAGAGAATTTGATATCTTTGAGGTCTTTGCAATCTGAAACAATATCTGATTGAGAAACACTGTCCAGGTAATTAGAAGATGAATACAATGAAGTGGTGTCCAAGGAGCAGCTACAATAAGACAGTTTTTCAGGAGATCGCAGAGAGATTGGCATGGTGTCAAACATGCTTTTTCCTGGTAAAATTTTTCCACAAGGAAAACAGAAAAGAATAGTAATTTTGACATGAACATTTTTTTTCCAATTAGATGTTTCAAAAAAAGCAGAGTGTTGTGTCACCACTCCTTTTAAGTTAAATATTAATACAATAACAAATAAAAATCATTCTCTTTCTTACCTCCATTCATTAATAACAGCAAAACAATTATTAAAAGTTTGATCAATTTTGATTCCATTTTTGTCATGGAAATCATTTTCTGGGTTTTCATCATAGGTCCCCAAATATTTCTGTAATCTAAGCTAGGAGCTCTGATTGTGAGACTCATGCCCCATTCACTAAGGTCAGCACGGATGAATGCTCCAGAAGAAAACCGAAACTAAAATACAGAAATAAAAGCTGTTTAAGCAATATTCAATATGGATTAAGAAAAAAAGCTATTAGTGAAGAAAATAAAAGCAAATTTATTTATTCTCTCAATATATAAAGGAAATGACAGGCATAGGTCCAATTTATGTATACATATTTATGTCAATCATATATATGTCCTCTGGAGAGACTATAACTACTGTTTCTACTCTTGCCAATATTGTGTGAGAGATCTTTGATTTGAATTTCTTTGATTACTAATAAGATAGTAGTTTTTATATTTTTGTTGGTTATTTGTACTTTTGGACATATTTTCCAGTTTTATTTCTTTCGTGAATTACCTTTTTATATTGCTCATTTTAATTGGAGTGCTTATTATACATCGGTGATATATGAGTAGTTCTCTATAACTTGTATGTTTTATATGCAGCAAATATTTTCCCAATTTTTTATTTACATTTTGTTTTTTGATGATAAAATTCAAATATGTAAAGTTATGCTAAAAATTCTTGTTCATCTCAATGTTATAGAAATGGTCACCTATCACTTTCATTTAAATTTAATTTTTATCCAGATGGAATTTACTTTTTTGGAATATGAAAGGAAGATGACTTAAAAATACAAATATCTCACAGATATAAAATTTTATTTAAAACTATTAATTACTTTATAATCTTGGCTCTTTTCCCTCTTTTTCTAATCTCTTCCATGTATCTACCAGCCTATTCCTAAGACAGAACCATCTGTAGTCATTTCAAAACTTGTTTAGCTATTCCTGAGTATTTATTTTTAGTTATATATATTTCATGTCTGTCAAATATACCATTTATTAGGCACTGTCAAATATTTTTATGAATAACCCACCATGTTATCATATTGAAATTTTAAATAAGGAAGTTTAAATTTGACAAAGTTATAACTATGTTCTATCTTTTTGTATGTAGTAAGTGAAAAAAGTTTTACTCCTAAAATTAGTGTTAATCTACATGCTATTTTCTAAAAAAAATATATAAATAAATAATGCTGAGAATGATAACTTTTAACAGTAAAGAATCATACATACTGTGACTTTTAAAAATTTTACTCCTAAAGTTAGTGTTAATCTACATGCTATTTTCTTAAAAAATATATATAAATAAATAATGCTGAGAATGATAAATTTTAACAGTAAAGAATCATACATACTGTGACTTTTCTTTCTAAGTAAGATTCACTTATCTTAATATTGCTGATTTCAAACTGGCTCTTTATAGATAAATACGGCTGTGATTCAGGTAGCTGGCCACCGCACATATCGAAAGTAACTACATCACCTTCTTCTTCGGCAACGAATCCGCAGTTACATGACACAGGATAGTGAAAGCTTCCACAGTCCCACTGACATACATGAACTTCAAAATCATGTGACATACTCTTATAAAGCACAAACATTCCAGTATTGAAATTATTGTATACCCTATCATTAAAAATGTAAGTTGCATTAAGAATTAGTATGAAATATCACAATAGTATGTGGTTAGCCAGAAATGTGTATTAAATTTATTTCTATGCATTCAGTATATTTTGATACAAAAATGAAAAATCAATATTTATAATAGCTTTATATATCCTGAGCATTTATTTATAGAGCACTGAATAAAACAAAGTAGTAATAAACACCTAAATCTTCCTCACTAACTTTTGTTTCACCATTTCAAACAATTCCTATTTCCAGTCTTTTTTTTCTACCCCTGCTTTAGTTTTCTTCATAGCACCTATCTTCCTCAGATGCACGATATATTTCCTTTATTAATTGTGTATATATCTCTTTACCTCTACAAAGTTAAGTTCTATGAGAGTTGAGTATCAGTCTGTTTTGTTCACTGCCATACCCTCAGCACTTAGAACATGGTTTGTCACTTAGTTGTTGCACAATTCATCTTGTTGTATTATAATGGATTAAATTAATCACTATTCTGCTTTCTCGAGGTTTTTCCACTAAAACTTCTAAGACTTTAATTAAAACCATAAAGGATTCTTGCATGTAGGACCAGTTCCCACAACTTTTCACACTTATTCAAACTTCTGCAGTATCATTTGTCATTGGAGAGAATATATATCTTTCTCTAATATTGAATAATTTTACTAATAATAATCACATTACAATTTTTTTAAAAGAATAAATTACTTTGTATCATGAAGAAAATTTTGACTCAACAATGAGGTGTTCTTGTCATTTTCTTCAGAGACATCTCAAAATCATGAATTCAGTATAACTGAATTTAAATCCTTCTCTGCATATATTAATAGTAAGATAGCTTAGATTGCTTTTTCGTCATTTTGCCCATTTTACTTCACATTCCAGAGGCAGCTATCCAAATATTCATTATGGCTACAGTAGTTTTTCCCCTGAGTATCCTTTCCATGAATTAGAAGTGATTAATTTTATAAAAATAATTATAATGGGTTAGTTTAATCTTTTTGCCTTAAACCTTTAAGATTTTTTCAGTATGGAAAAATGCAATAACAGTAATCTCTAGAGCAAACAATTTAAGCACTATTAAAAATAGTCAAGCTAAAATGATTGTATGTGTAAGAATCTTCATTTTCACAAATTCAGCCTCACAACTAATCCACATATTTACTAAAATTAGATTTTAAAGAAAAAAATATTCCACACAAATAAATTAGTATTTTGAAATAAGCCAGTGATGTCTATAAATGCTTTTCTTTCTTACCTTTCACTGGATAAGACTAAGAAATAATAAGTAGTATGATGTTAAAAACAACAACAACAACAAAATCCAAAAGAAACACAAATTACTAAAAGAAAAACTTTCAGGAAATTACCTGCCATTGAATACAATTATACGTGGTTCAGTAAATAAATAGCAGTAAGCAGTTGGGACATCCTTTACTCTGATCTTAAAAGCAAAGATATTTGCAGTAAATATTATCAATTGTTAATTAATGATATACAATAAATTGCTTAGTAATCTCAATGATTTTTAAATTAATTATTGAAAAATGAAATCATTTAAAAATTGAAATCATTAAATAATTTTGAATTGAAAAGTTTATAAGGTATAGTGATAAAATACACATGTCTTTTTTAAAGCTTCAATTGTGAAAATATTTTTGTAATTTGTCAACCTGGATGCTGTCTGGAATGTAGCTGTTCCACAGGAAAAATTCATTAACTATAGGTTTCACTATAATGTCTATAACTCTATTTCCATCTAGAGAAACATCTACTACAGCAGTGTAGTACTCAAGAGCATGACTGTAGGTTCCATCAGCATAGGATGATGTCCAGTGAAGGTCCACATGACAGGAAGACAATGCCAAATTTAAGCCTAGATGTTCTTTGCCTATTTTATGGGAAAAAAATACATTGAAAAATTTTCTAAGGGAATATTCCAATCAGAACATATAATAACTTGATTAACATGAAACATCGATAGATTATTCTTATTTTTTTTGTCTAAATAAAACCAATGCTATTGAACTCTACCTGATCTTTACAAATAGTTAATCAACTTCAATGTATAGATGTATATTACTATTTACAATAAGATAATAAATTCATATGCACCTGGATAAAATTCAAAAAAAGTATATAAACATCACCTTTGTTTCTGTAAAAAAAAAATATATAATTCTAGCACTGAGTAACAAAATTTGAAATTTTTTTCTGCGTAAGAACTGTGCCTTGTGTCCAGATATGTCTGTAATATTTCTTAGGGCTTTCACTTATATTCTGTCCATTGTCAAGTGATAACAGTGATTATTGATACAGAGTTCATCATACAGGTTTAATTATTGATACAGGGTTCATCATCTGAAAAAATAAAAAGTCAAAACAAATTAAGGTAGCGTATCTGTCTGTAATAAACTCTATATCTCCCAAATGTCCCAATATATTTAGAACCTCAAGATGCTCCCTTGCGTATGGAACAAAGAACAAGACAAAATAATTTGGAAAGAAGGTGGTAACAGAAGGGAAAGAAGGAACTCCAGGAATTTGTAACTAAATAAAAAGAGTAGATTCCTGCAGAAACTGTCTACAAAGGAAGTTTACACATATTCCAACTAATAATTACAAAGTCCTTCTGAGAATCAAAGAGGAAGAAAAAAGTTGTTAAAAACTTTCTTTCACACATCATTTTCAGTTATAAAATTATATTTGTAGTAGATTCAAAATTTCTGAAAAAGCTTCTCTTCATGCATTTTTTTTCTAATATGTACTTTTCCTATGCACGTTAAAGGCAATAGAAACATGCAAACTTTAACCAGCTCACTATGGTGAATATGGAATTCTATCTGGTTTAGATATAGCCCCTGACATCATTTTCCCTGGTCTATGGTATGAAGGCCAAGTATTGTGTCTCATTAAACCTGTGAAAAAACAGCCTGTCTTTGTAGAAGAACAGTAGGGGACACTAACTTGTTCTCTATGAAAGTGGAGATGTAATGGAAATACACTTAAAGATGAGATGAGGAATATACAGAATAAAATCCAGAAATTTCTTTCTAGAAGAGTATGAAAATTATTTTTAATTGACAAAGAATAAGAACGTGCAAACTTCTAAAATGTAGGAATACATTTAGGCTGTTTTTATATCACTATAACAATGCTAGTCTTGTTGAAAGAATCGAGAGCATGCAAGTATAGTTTAAAGTACATTTGTAACTGAAGGAAATCTTTGCCTAATACAGTTTTGGAAAATATCAATAATATCATCCTCTTCTTTTTCCCTCTCATCAACTGTAGTAAAATTTGCATCATATGCTTTTTCAGAGGTAGTTCGAAGTAGAATTGTGTCAAACAGTTTGAGACAGAGGGCTTAATTTCATGTTTCTGGGCTAGATTTCAAAATATAGTGTTGCTCATGATGCTCCTGAAATTTGATTAAGTAGGTGGGTATGATCTACTAAGTCTGTTTATTGTCAAGCATTTTAGGATTGCCTTTCTTGATTCCACTTTCTACCTCCGTATTACCTCTTTTCCTGGCATATCATTCCCATGAGACTTCTTCTACTAGCATTTTTATCCTTTTGTTTCTCTGATTTAAGTAGAAATAATATAGATATGAAGACCTAGATACATAGTATTTGGTGTATTTACAAAACAGAATTTTATATCCTATGGTGAAAAGGTATGCAAACAGAATTGTAGTCTCTCCTAGAGGTTTTATATATCTTAATTTATGTATCTCTTACGTACTTTGGTGTCTGCTTCAGAGGCTTAAGACCAAAAAAAAAAAAAAAAAACTCCTATCACTGGAGTATATGGTTTGTCTCCGCATATTTTTTCATTCTTTAGGAGAATTTCAACTTTCTACATGACTGTGACAGTGACATATATGAGGCCATATATAATACAATCTATATAATTACTAATTTAAATAGAAGAGTTTTAAAACAAAAGCTCCCAAACATAAGCTTACATTAGGGAGAAAAGTGCGCAGAATGCGTTATGAGATCCATGGTGCATAAGCTTGAACTTTTAGCATCATTTATCACACTCAAAAGGATAATTTGGAAAATTTTAAAAGAGCAGTTTGTCCCTCGGTCTCTGAAAACAAAGCAAAGAGAAGAACAAGCGAGAAGATGAGAAGGTGGAGAAAAGGAGTAAGAGACAGAAAAAGAAAGGAGAGGAGGGGGAGGAGGATATTGTTCATTATTTATTTATTTTTGTTTATTTATACTCTGAGCCCAGGAGGGATAAATGTGGATTGCTCTGGCAATCAAAAATTTGGCCCAGTATTACTAATATGATTGAAGTGTACTTTGATATATACATGCAACATAATTAATTATGTGAGTACACTACAGTGACTTTCTCTAGAAAAAAAGCATTAGTTATTATTTGAAATCTAATAATAAAATTAAATGAATTTAGCATCCATTACCTTGATCAACAGTTTTCAGTTTTAGTTGAGATTTTGCATTCCTAATCAAGCTCACTGAATTCAGAACAAACGACAGGAATCGTGCTCTCTATTCTCAACTGGTATTCTTTTCCATCTTCTGATATAGTGCTCAATTCAGGTGGTAACTGCTATAGGAAAATATATAGGGTGGTCATATAAAAATAAAATTTGTTTCTAAGACTCAATAATTTTGAAAAGGCACTTTTTCCTCAATAGCTCATATTTTGCTAAATGAGCTAGTAGTAATAATTTAAGCACTTCAATTTTTGAACTACACAAGATCAGTTAAAACCAAACCCTTAAAAACATCAGCAATGCACAGAAGAGTACCTGGAGTCACTGTACTGCTCTGACTTTGGGCACAGTTTCGTTCCCCAACACATGATAGGCAGTCTGGTTGGAGCCTGCCTTAGTGATTCTGGTACTAAGTAGTGGGCACTAGGAAATAGAGGAAACAGAAAGATTCCCATCTCCTTTCATTTGTTTGGTAATGTTTACTGACATACCAGTGAAAGAGTCTATTTATCCTTAAAAATTAATATCATCCCTAATATAAGTTACAAATCTAAATATTTTTTAACACATAAATTAAAACATTATTACCACCTGAAATATCTTAACCTTCAGCTTATTTCTCAGCTTCTTCTTTCACAGTTGGATTCATGACTACTGAACTCTAGAACTGGTCCTAGCCCAGTTCACAGGCCAATCTTTTCTTGAGGCAGAGAGTTTTTACGCAGTCTCAGTTCTTTGCTAGCTCCCCAAACAGATGACTCAGTAGGGAATACTCTCTCTGCTAGCCTAATCAGAAACCGCACTGGCCCTAATGTTGTATGAGTTCTCTCAACAATGTAGATCCAAAGAGTCTGTGTTCCCAAGGTCTATGCTATTCTGACAACATAGTTTACTCTTTTCCCTCCTTTTCCTGGTCCCTGCTGAGTATAAATGGTCTTTATTCAGGAACAGACTTTGTCCTGGTTCTGAGTCTTATTTTCACAATCTATCAATGATCTTATTTTGTTCATGAACTAGAGATGAGTCAAGGTCAAACTTCAGTCCCCTGGCTAAGACCAAAGGGTGCACAGTACTTGCCTCCCTAGACCTCTTGGTACTGCCCCACTCCTTCCACTACTCTGGATTTCTTGTCATCTCTGCTCATCTGCTGAAATAGCTCATCAGTTCTTAGACCTCAGCCCTACCCACAGTGACCACGGGTATTGTCTTGTTTAATTAGCTCAATCTTTGCAATTCATAAAGTCCAGATTTCTGGGCCAATTCTACTTTAGTCAGAGGCTCTAGTACTTGACCTGCTACCTGTCTTTCAAAATGCTTGATAACTAAATATTGGTACTCTAATTGTTACTTGCATTATGGAATAAATTATGTGAATAGAACTTGTGCTTTATTCTAATTTGAGCTATTTCTGAAAAAAAAACTGCAAGTGTATTTTAACTTTAGTTCATTAACAGGGGCCCTCAAATTTTGTTATATATTAGAATTATTTAGGTTATTTTTCAAAAATACAGACTCTTTGGTCCCAACACTCAGTCTGTGATGAGGTCTTGGAACCAGCATCCACAAATCACAGTATAGAAAACACAGTTCCAGAGGAGTCATCTTTCTGATCCATCCCCACTGCTATATACCTTAATGCTTGCAAAAATTTCTTGGCTTTTGATGGCTAATCTTTGTACATGTAGTTTCTCCAAGAAAAAGATGAAAACAGTACAGAATATGTATAAATATAGTTAACAAATAATCATTTAGCAATAAAATTATGGAGGAAATATGTATGTTATTATATGTAAGTACTTAGTTTTAATTTTTAGTAGATAGCACATGAGATAACAAAAATAAATAATTTTAAAACTTGCTTAAAAATGAGAAAAAATCCATCTTTATAAAATATTAATTATTCAATCCTCAACAAAATTAAGTGTTGTGGACTTTGTCTTGAAGATGTATTCAAAAAGAATGTGATATCATCATCGAAAAAATGAAAATGTTTTTCCTAGACTGAAAGTATATCATTTTAAAACCCAAAAGAGACATAAAATTACAAGACTTCACTGATAATAATCAACAAATTGTGAGAAGCAGATACTCATAGTCAAGATTAATGACTCGTCCAGTTATCAATGTAGTTGACACAATTGCCAAGGAAAAAAAAGAAAAAGAAAAACACAGTGCTTTATGTTATGGGGACAAAAACTACTTTTAGAAAATGATTTAAAAATTCATTTTTAACAATGCATTCATGAAAAAAAAAACAAAAAAATGTACCTATCTCCAAGTCTGAGATTTATGCCATCCATTTCTGAAAAAGAGAATGCCTGAACTGTGGTCCCCTGCTTCAACTCCTCTTTGATTTCTTGAGAAGAAAGCCTAGACCAAGCTATGAGAAATCCCACTGAATTGTTTGTAGGGGAAACATCAAAAGCACACCTAAAGAAAATCCTGGACTCAATTGGCTCCATCACAACCTCTGGTCTTCCTGGAAGTGGTGGTGGCAATGAAGCAGACAGCTGATCTGGTGGGAGAAAATGCATAATTTGTAGTTGGGCATCTTAAGAGATAGTACTGGTTTATGGAAAAAGCTCACGAAGACTGTAACTCAGGGAATTTTAATAGATTTAGAAAAATAATTATTCTCTAACTATCAGCAAAGTAGTACATTCTTCTATTGACCCACAATCACATAAAAATTGACAGCAGATAAATTTATCAGCTTATCAAGCTTGTATCGGTGCATGTTGAATACATCTATCCTTGAAAAGCCTAGCTCTTGAACACAAACATAATTTACCTTCTTTTAAGCTACTACCTTTTCTAAAAGATACAACAAATAAAATTCAGGTTTTCTACTCCATAATTTCTTGTTATAAAGAAAAAGTCACTATAATGTAAAATCAAATGACAACTATTTTACTCTCATAATTTACTCTTATAACTCAACTCATTACTCTTGCTTTCTTGAAAAAGCTATTTCATAAAGGAGTGATTATGCTGTATTAGTGAAATATACCCAGTGTTAAACAATAGTCTTATTCTTTTCATTTTTTCTGAGATTAAAAATGTTTAAAGATCCTTCTAGGAACTCAGAGAGATTTTATCTCTGGGCAATTGCAAGATTAAACCTGGGAATCTCGAATGTTTCCAAATGAGTTTTTAATTAGTTTTGTTCTGATTTAAAGAAGAGAAAAATATCTGAGTGACAAATTTTATAAGTAGGAGTTTTATAATGTCCTAAAATTTCTACTATATATGTGTGGTAATTTTATGATAATCACAATATTAATTTTTTAGTCTTTTAATGTAGATTTTGGAAAATTCTGAGAAACAACCTAAACGTGGGGGGAAAAATCTTATGCACTTTCAAATATTTGTAAATGTTATTTCATTGGATATCAGATTACAAAATCCTAATAAACATTTTTCAAATTAATCTAAATAATAAATATTTTGTCAAACATTTTAAACATTGGGCCAAATCACCACCATATTTAGATTTGAAGAAAATAATAGACACTTTTGAGTATGTATTGATTTTTAAAAATTATGTATATGAGTAAAAATTCCTTCTTAAAGTAGAAAAAAGTCAAATTTATTTTTAAACAGAATAACTATGGAAATAATTTTTAAGGATAAAAGATGAAAACTTAAAAGTAAATAATTCATGAAAATTAAAATTTTTGAATCAATATTTTAAATAGCATGAACTAGGTGAGCTGATCATTGCTCACAACAATGTAGATCAGAGACAATTTATTAAAAGATACTTCAAGTTTGCAAGAATGACAAATTGTTTCTGCTTAAAAGCACAATTATTATGGGTTTGTCAATTCTAATATTAGCATATGCTGAATATGTTAATATATTCTCTATTTTATTATGAAGCTTTATCAGTTAAATTGGACTCAATATTTTCATTCAAATGTTACTTATCCAAATTGTGTATGATTTTGTATAGCAATTTTTTCAGTTAATTGCATAAATATTCTGAATAACATAACAAGTTAGCTTAAATGTATTGCTTAGGGAGAAAAGTGATTTTACTGTAATACATGTATATGATAAATATAATCCAAACATATTATGCAATATAACCAAATATTTATACTTCATGGTTAATGTTACTATTGTTAGGGATTTTTTTATTTTCTTAAAAACAAATCACAGGGTCTAATTAAACTGACACTTTCAGATAAAATAAAAGCTTGTTTAAAAAATGCTAGAAAAGGGGACTGGAAAATGGTTACAACTGAAATAAGGCATAGAAAAGCAACTCAAAGTATTTATTTTGAGGATTATTATAAAATTATACTTTTTAAGACAAAACATTAATTTTTAAGGCTGGTATCTGAATATCATATGATCTATCCTGATTTGCTTTATGTCAGTAGGGTTTATTTTACCATAAAAACTGTCAACAATCCCTCATTCATTTAGAATATCTCATTGGCTAACAGGCCCCAGGAAAAGGCTGTTTCAATAAATAATTTAGATTTCTGCCCATCTTTTAAGTAGACATCATAAATTTTATTAGACAATCTATTTAGAGTGATCTGTTAAGGAATATTACAATAGGGGAATTTCTTAATATTTGAAATAACTTTAAAAACTTTATTTTAAAAAATACAGATTGAAAAGAAAAAAATGTGACCACAATTTACACTTTTGGCGTTTATCTTTTAAGACTTATTTGGTACAAATGCGATCATTCCTGAAAGACAAAAATGAGATTGTGGTACATAATCTGATTTCTTAGCTACCATATACCATGAATATCTACTAATGTTAAAGAATGTATTATTGCATTTTAATATTTCTTATAGAACATTTTATCTTTATAGATATTGATTCAACCAGCAGTTTTTGGTTATTTGTAATTTTTTTCATATTGTTAGAAAAATGCTGTCATAAATCTTGTATTCACATGCTTCTTTAAATATTTCTCTAAGCTAAATTTTTGGAAATGGAATTGCAAGGAAAAAATACATGTGGATTTTTAAAATTATTGAGATAAATTGCCAAATTTTCTTATAAAAAGATTCAATAAATATACACACACGTCTGTAGGGTTAACATGCCCAACTCTCTGTATCTTTGTCAACTCCATTGCTATTTTTTAAAAGCATGATAAAGTGATATTTTTGATATCCACTAGGCTGGGGCATTATCAAATATTAGCATAATCCTATCTAAACTAAGGCACAGAACATAAAAACCTTTTGACATTATTAGTTTATAAATACATTGTTAAGAATAAAAATTGATACTTACGAACACAGTCATCTCCAATTTCAATTTTGTCAGGGCCACATGGGTATAATTTTGCATCAGATATAGCTGCAAAGGTTAAGGATAAATTGTATTTATTCAATTGAGCATAAAGATTTCTATATATCTCTATGTCTGTCTATTGGTCGATTGATCTATTGATCAATCTATCTGAGATGACAATCTATGTGAGAACTTAAATATGGTAAAAGAGAGAAACAATTTTGAATAGTCAAACTTTGAAACTGAGTGGATAGTAGTGACATTAACAAAACAGGAAATTTTTTTTGAGTTTTAAAATCGTAGTAAAAATGCAAATTTTTAAATATTGAGTTAAAATTCAGTGTAAACATTTCTGTTGAGGTGATTATTTGTATTTTATGGTATTCTCTGATGTGAAAGTTTTGTTTTTATTTTTTAATAGTTGTCAATGTTTCTTAAATGAATATAGGTAAATTGTTTTTTTCCATTAAAACACCTACAGAACTTTCCACAAATATTTGGAAATATTGTTTGAAATTTTACAAAAATTAGCTATTTTTTCAATGGCAAGAGCACTGAGAAATACCAAAAAGACATTTTTCATAATTCTCATCTTGGCCACCCAATGAAGCTGATCCATTTCTCTGGATTTTCTCTTTGCCAATGATACTCTATTAACTGATCTGTTGTTGAATGTCCTTACTAAATATACTGCTTTCAGCTACATTTAGCTGGACAGAAGACTTCTCAATGCACAGAAAATAAAATGCAGAGTTCCCTAAACATCAGGCCCTGCTGCTCATCTTAATCCTTGTCTTGTTATGTTCTCCCTTACTCTGTGAGATCTACCATCTCTGTCCTGCTTTCACTCTTGTGAGAACACCATACTCTTAGCCTTAAGGCCTTTCATAAGCTGTTGTTGCTGTCTGGGGTGTTTTTGCCCTCGATCTTTATCTGACCAAGGACTGTTTACCCTCAAACTCGCAATGTCAATCTCTTGTTCTCAGAAGAGGCTTTCTCTGGTGACACCTCATTATAAATTTTATCCTTTATTCACCTCCAGTATTTTCATCTACAGTAATATAATCTTTTCATTCACACTATTAATTGCAGTTTATAATTGCTTCTATATTTCTTGCCACTGTTTAGCTGTACCTATGTTGTTTGAGATTTTCTAGTTTGGAGAGTCTAACGACCTCAGGATGGAAATATTTATAAGTGTTACTCATATAATAATTATTATTTGCAGTGTTTGCCTAGTTTAATAACACTGGTCCATAACAGTATTTCTCAGGATTTTCAGTCTTCTGTATATATAAATGAGCCCAGATAATCTACAAGAGGGGGGTTTGTTTTTTTCCAATAACCTAGTCACATATTAGCACACTCCACCTCCCTAAAACAAATAAATACCTCATTTATCAGCTTTATTCATGTCTAAGCAGTCCAAGTAAAAAAAAAAATCACCATTATGTAGTTCTATTTTGAGCTCCTTGCATCTGAAGATTTAGTTCACTAGTTCTATTGAACACTGCCATTAAATATGTGCTTGTTGAGTCTCTACCTTGTTCAGAACAGGAGGTCCTGATGCCCTAGTAAAAAGGGAGTCTGTATGTTTCAAAGAGTTAAGTCATAATTGAGTACAGAGAAAAAGAAACAAAAAAGTTTGAGATTAGTTATTTATTGCGATATCCATGATGGTATGTTATGGAACTCTCATCAAAACTAAGAAATTGACCTTAATACTCAAATAAATTGAAGACTCTATTCAGATTTTACCAATTTTCCACTAAAGTTCTTTTCTGTTCCAGTATCCAATCCAGGATATCATCACAGTGCTTCCTTAGTCTTTTCCAATATGTGACAGTTTCTCAATCTTTTATGGTTTTCCATGATTTTGACACTTTTGAAGAATACTATTCAGGTATTTCATAGACTGTTTCTTAATTTGGATTTTTATGAATTTGTCTGAGTTTAGACTGGCTTTATAGCTTTTGAGGAAGAATACCACTAAGGAAAAGTGCCCTTGTTATTGTAGATTATCAGTAGATAAATGACATCAATATACATTATTACTGGTGATGTTAACCTTCGATACTTTCACATCAACAAATATTTTTGAGGACTTTAAGATCTTGGCAAAGAATCCTAAAGAAATCTTGCCAATTTAAATCATAAATTTAGCTTTACCCTAGCTATAATAGTAAACCAAATCTCTTACTGATACTTACATTAGCTAAATACAAACTATCCAGAGAATCACACAAATACACCAACACACATAGTTCTATGATTAGCTGTTCATGTGTATTACTTACGTTTTCTTACCTTCTGCACAATGCCCCATACATCCCTGAGTAGATTGTAGTAAGTATACAAAAAATTGTCCACAGTTTCTTACAGACACTGGGATTTGAAAAAGACAGCAGTCTTCTGTAATGCTAAGCAAAACCTGCCATGCGGCACAAGCTGTCAGTTGCTTGATCGCCCCAAGTGAAGGCAGTGTTTCTGAACCTCTCAGAGACAGCCATATGGGGGCTTGTGTTCTGCAGTGGTTCATCTTTTGCATCAGAAAGAAAAGTTAAAAATCCAATTATTTTCGTACATGGTAAATAATCAATTTTGCATTTTCTTCTAAATAATCTTTAAAATATTAAATTATTAATCATTTAAAAAAATTCATTAACTTGTACCTGTGTTATAAAAGAAAAAGTAACTATGGAATAGTAAATTTAAGGGTAGATTTTTCATAATTAATATAATCTTATTCAATTTAAATACTTTTTCCCATTTGTTACATTTGTATTGTGAACAGGAGAAATTCAGTATTAGATAACAAACTGAAATAGCTGATACATTCTAAGACAAATCAATCTGAAGTCATTTTAACATATAATATAAAGATAAACTGATCCTGGAGATTTCTTGAAAAATTGCTGAAAATAGTATACGTAAGAAGTTAATATAAAGTTCAGGAGGCATCAAAAAATCAGGAGAGAAGGAAACAATTGTTCAAAATCTAGAGAAAATACTAGGTTGGCAATTTGGGAGTAATGAAGTTAAAGCCTCACTTAAGGCCAATTATCCAAATCATTTCCAGATGGACAATAGAAAAGTAACCCAGAAAAATAAGAAGAGACTATATACGATTTAAGAAGGATCGAGACACTTACTAAATGAATAACCTGGGGCAAGGCACTCAACGTTTTTTACTTTTTTATTAGGTGGATTGTAGTTTCCACCTCATAGTGCTGTAGTGAAGTATAAATAAAAGAACTTATACAACTTCTACATGGCAATGACTCAATCATTGTAAACCAGATTATAATTATGAATATTATATTAATATCAATTATAATAAATAATATGATATATAATTATATATGTTATATAATTACATTATATGATATATAATTACATAATGTTGCTATTATATAATAATGGTTAATATTAAACTTAATATTTTCATGCTTATAAGCAAAGAAAATAAAAAAAGATAGTTATGATTAAATAATAATTTAAAAATAAGACAAATAAAAGTTAAATAAGAAGAAAACAAATAGCATTATACTTAATATATTACATTATATATTTATTGTCACATTATTATATTTTTTATTTCATTTTAGCCAGTAATAATATCCATTTAATAATTCTAAGATCACAAATAGAAAAAATAGACAGACATATAGTTCAAAGAACACATGAAAATAGTCAATATTAGAAGAGGTATTTTTATTCATTGCTACTGGACTTTTTTTAGCATTATATTTTTAAGAAACAACTTAACTGTGTGTATTAAAATTCTCAAAAAGACATGAACCTTCACTAATTTTACTTATAAAAATTAATATTACCAAATACACTAAAATATAACAATGACTTATATGCATATTTGCTAATTGCAGAATTACTTATAGTAAAAGCTTGAATGCGCACACATATGGTAGGATTTAAATAAATATGGTATATACATATGACAAAATATTATTTTCAAACAGATATCAAAAAAAATTTTTAATAGAAAAATGTTAATGCTATAACTATAACTGAAGAAAACATGTTATGCAAGTGAACATATAGCATGAATCTTACAAAACAATATAAATAAGAGGGCACAATAGCAAAATGTTAATGGTAGTGTGAGTGTATGGGTGGATTATGAATGAATGTTATGCTATTACCTGTTCTTTTCTAAGTTTTCTATAATGCACATGAATTACTTTAAACATTATAAATAGAAATTTATTTATACATATTTTGTATTATCTTGTGGACTAAAAGAAAAATTCTATCAATTCTCCAGCTGAATGGTAAAAGCTTCGTTTCAAGAGGGCATGATAGAATGGGAACAGGGAATACTTCTCCAGGGAGAACAAAATAACCATGTATTATCTGACCCCTAGGAAAAGAGCCAGGGAAAAAAGCCAGTTTACCACTTTACCTTTACATTTTTATGAGGTTCTAGAACCAAATATAGTTAATTTAGCCTAAATAAATAAATAAATAAACCCCACAAATGTTTAAGGACATAGTGAATGACTTCTAATTTTCTCAAATTTTACTTTTAAACTCTGATTTTTTAAAAGTTTATTACAAAAGAAATGTCATAAGAGTGATAAGCAAATAAACCACAAAGAGAAAAAAAGAGAGCTACCATGTCACAACTTAAAAATTAAACACTTAAAATTAGGATATTTTTCTTGAGTTTTTTTTTAGTTACATATTTAAAAGGGAACATAATTTCTGCTTCTACATAATCCTCAAAATGTGGGTAACAATAAGGAAAACGAGACTTCTATTTATGACTGGCAAAAACTGAAGCAGGTTTTCAGGTTACTTGTGGTTAAGTACATGAGCCCTGGAGAATGACAGCTGTGATAAAAACTTGGGATGGTTGACCTGCTAGCTGGGTGACTCTAGATATGTTTCCTGCACTGTATGTTGGAAGTAAATGATGAAAGACTGGATTTTAGAGTTGTAAAAATTATATAAGATACTATATGTAAAAGCGCTTGGTGGACTGCATGAGCATAACATTAACTATTACTATTATTATTATATAATACATGAGAATACTCCTTTAGATTAATTTAATCTTGATAACAATATCAAAATAATATTTCAGTGTGGGAAATAAATTGGTTGTAACAAGTCTCAATCTTTATATGAAAAAATACATAAGAAAAAAGTACATGTAGTTCTTAGTGAGTTGAAATACCTCGACACATTTGGTTGGCATCTCAGCAGGTCTGTCAAAGATGAGAAATTGATATCATCCAGGAGCTAGGGAATGGTCATATATCAGGTCTTGAATGGCTGACTGCTGGAGGTACAATGAGTCGAAATGGATATTCGATAAGGGCTCTGAAGTAACTGGTGTCCCCCAGGAGAGCACTCCTGAGGTAGGATGAAAAGATAGGTGTCTTTATATATGCACTTTCTTTGTTCAGATAGTTTAGTACTCAATTAAAATTGATTTCCAAAACAAATAAATCACATCCACCCACAATGGCACATAAAGACCACCTGAAATGTCAGTGTCTCTTAGTAAGTCAAAGATGACTTAGCTTGCACTGTTCATAAATACAGTAAACCAATCAATAAACTCTTTAGAATGTATTTTTGAGGTGCCTAAGCTTCGAGAACTTTATTTTCATTTAATTTGGACAAAGCAATATTACTGATTGACACTGAGTTAGGATGTGTTTATTCCTACCATCCGAAGTTGCAGGCCCTACAAAGATTCCTCTTGAGAATGGTCTTCCAGATTTGAATGCCATATTGATCCTCTATGACCTACTTTCCTCTACAGTAGCCACATGTCCCGCTATAATCCCAACTCTTCCAAGTCCTAGAGTACAACACACTAAACCGATATCTTAATTCCAATCTAATTTTTGTAAAATACCCTCCTAATGAAGTTCCCTGCATTCTTTAGTACAGGAAAGAATATAAAGTTTTTAAATACAACTTTTTTTTTAAGGTAAAGTATTGAAATCCATTTTTATTAGTAAGCACAGGAAAAGGAGTGGGGAGGAGGAGAATAGTTTGGAAGGAGAACCAAAAGAAGACCAGAGAGAAGGAGAGAGTTCTGTAGTTTTTTTAGGGAAACCACTTTCTGAGCAGCAGTTGGCCTAGAAGATACTTTCTCTGTCAAATCCATAGAGGCAGAACATAAAGCTCCTTTTCCTAGCATAAAGGAGGCAGTGAAAACAAAATGATCTTAGAAATACAGCTCTTGTTTGAGGCTCCTGACTCACAAAACAAGAAACACAAGGCAGTGTCCTTATTCGAATACCACAGTATCTTGTTGACGCAGTAGATAAACAATCTCTAAATATTATATTTGTTGAAAAAAAACACTAATAATAAGATAATATCTATAAAATAGAAATGTGAAATAAAAAATTCTATCATTACTAAAGTACCTCACTGTGGAAAAAAATTTAACTGAAAAAAATTAAAATATTTATTACATAATTTTAGGTTAAAAAAGTGTTTATAAACCAAAATCAATTTCTGAACTTAATAAGGAGCACAAAAAAAAACTAGAGATATTAATTTGTAAGCCTTTTTCACAAGTGTAGCTTATAAAATTGTCATCATTTCTTTAGCTTTTTATTTTATTGCTTGTAATTATAGCAATTAAACTGTACAAAAGACATTGTTTTGCAAGATAAAAGATCTCCCTAAAGAACTTTTTTAGTAAAATATTTTAAAAAGGCCCTTCTTCCTTTTATCTCTTGGTCCACCAGATTTAAATTTCCCAAGAAGAATTTATCCTAAAAGTCTCAATCTATCAACAATAAATATTTTGTGTGTGGATAGAAATCAGGGATGTGCTATCATTTCATCTAATTTTTAGGTAACTCAAAGATCTTGTCAATATCAGAACATTGTACCTCGCTAGAAAATAAGCAAAATATTTTTTAAAAGATTACTAGCGAGGTTTACATGAATTATCGAAATGTTGTTGTTTTTTTTAATCTCTTCTTTGAATAGAATTTTATATCAGGGAAAAAAGTTAATAACTTCTTCTTTATTCTGTGCAGTATTTCTCCTTCCTAAGTGCTTCTATAGTTCTCACATGTCTTCTGATTTTGCTGTTTCGAAGAATTATTTTCTAATCCAAAGCTACAGATATAACAAATGTAGTAATCACAGTGTGACATCAATAATACTACAGAAGTGCATAATATTTAAACAGGAATTTTTATTTATTTTTATTTAATGTTTATTTTAGAGGAAAATTCTTAATTCATATACTTAATAATAGCTCATATTTTATATTAGTTATGTCATAATTCCTCCTTCCTCAAATTTGTCTCTTAAAATGTTCATAGTCTATGGAGAAAAATTTAAAAATTTTACTAGTATAAATAAGGCACACTCTTAAAAACCTCATTATAATCTTAATTCTAAAATGTATGCTATAGGTAACTAAATGAGAATTATAAGGATGGTTTGGGCTTCCATTTGAAAATTTAAGGGTTTGGCTCCTCGAGTAGTTAAAAGAATAGGTTTATAGGCCTATCTCACCTGTCAGTCAATTTCATAGTATGAATAGTGTGCAGAGCTCTCTAGCAAACTCCTAATCTAACTTTCCCTCAAAATAAAAGTATATGTAAAATATACATTAAAATTTACATTTCTATTTGTTCTGCTTCCCAAGAAACCTTAAAGCAGCTAAGTAATATATAATAGAGTCTGCAATACTTGGATTTTAAATACTTTGAGAGAATGTGTCAAGTTATGAATATAATAGATACGTAATGGAAAACAATATACAAATGGTTTTCTAGTTTTGTTTGTAGATATTAGGTAGTTTGTATTAGATTGCTTTCTGGTTTAATGCAATGGCCAAGACTAACATTCTTTAAGAGTCATAAATGGTTAACAAACAAATGTGTTAAACTAAATAAATCATTGTAATTTTAAGAGATAAATATGCTTAACACCTGAATATAGGAACTTTATATCTGAGTTTGTAATGATAAAACCTTTGGTATATTGCTCTATGGGAATTTCAAATACTTGTGAATTTTAAAAATCTTACAACTTCTCCAAAGATGTAGGAAAAAGAAAAACCACCTTTGAGTTCCAAATTCAAGGATAAATAAGTAATTAATAATTAAGCTTTCTACAGCCATGCCACCCTGCACAAGCCCAATCCTGTCTGATCTCAGAAGCTAAGCAGGGTTGCACCTGGTTAGTACTTGGATGGGAGACCACCTAGGAAGAGTAGGTGCTGTAGGCATAAAAAATAAAAAATAAGGGATTATGAGCTGACAAGCTGACAAGGTCCTTGCAATCTATGAGGTCAATCAAGAGTTGTCTCGCCTAAAAAAAAAAGAAAATTAAAAATTAAACTTCTGACATTTAAAACAGAATTATGTGTTCTGCAACAATACAAAAGGCTGAAAAGCAAGGTCACATAGAAAGTGATTGGTTGGTTAAATCTCTTTACTTTGCCCTCTTTTATGTATCAAGAGTCACAAACTGAATTCCTTTTGAAGAGAATACAAATTAATTGAATGTAAAATGGAAGAAAAATAAAATATGCAAACAGCAATCACAAGAAAATGGGATTGGCTATACTAATAACAGACAAAAAAATTGTAAGACAAAAACTATTACTGGAGATAAGAAGAGATTTTATAATAATAAAGGTTTCAATCCATTAGGAAGATATTAAATTATAAACATCTATGCACTTAATAACAAAGCATCAAAATATATCAAGCAAAATTTGACAGAAGCAAAGGCAAATTCATATTTCAGCAGTAATAGTTGGGGACGTCAATACTCTACTTTCAGTATGAAAAGGAAATAGAGCTAGAACAACACTTTAAACCACTGTAAACTAACAGATATCTACAGAGCACTTCTCCCAACAACAGCGGGATATAAATGCTTTTAAAGTGTACTTGGAGCATTCTTCAGGATAAACAATACACTGGATCATAGGACAAACCTCGATAAATTTAAAAAGATAGAAATCATACAAAGTATATTTTCTGACCACAATGGAATGAAATTATAAATCAACAGCAGAAAGAAATTTAAGAAATTCACAAATATGTGGAAATTAAACAACCTAATAACGAAGAAAAAAAAAAAAAAAGAAATGAGACTATACTTTGAGAAGAATTAAAATAAAGGTAAAACACCAAAATTTATGGCATACTGCTAAAGTAGTGCATAAAGATATATATGCCTATATTAAAAAAGAAAAAGGTCTCAGTATAATAAACCTTGTACCATAAGACACTGGAAAAAGAAGAATATACTATACCTAAAAGCAGCAGCAGAATAGAAATTTTAAAGATTATAGATGAAATTAATGAAATTGAGAATAGAAACACAATAGAGAAAATCAATGAAACAAAAAGCTGGTTCCTTGAAAAAAAAAAAGTCAACAAAATGGTTATACCTCTGACTATAAGATTTACTAAGGAAAAAAGAGAGAAGACTCACTAGAGTCAGAAATGAAATAGGGGACACCATTATAGATCTTATTAAGAAATACAATTATAGTTATATGCCAATATCTTAAAAGAGATTAAAAAATTCTTTAAAAAGACACAAACTATAAAACTGACTCAAGAAAAACAATCTAAATAGATTTATATCACATAAAAAGATCAAATCAGTAACAAAACAAAACAAAACAAACAACACCCAAACAGACAAGATCAGGTTTAGATGGCATCTAAGCTGCATTCTACCAAACATATAAAGAATAATACTAATTCTTTATAAACACTTCCAAGAACATAGAAAAGAAGAGGAAAAACTTCCAGATTTATTCTGAGCTCAGTATTACCTTGATACCAAAGCCAGAAAAAGATATCACAAGAAAAAAAGACTACAGGCCAATCTATCTTTTGAATATAGACACAAAAGTCTTCAGCAAAATACTAGCAAACCAAATCTAGAAATAAAGCTGAAGAATTATGAACCAAGACCCAGTAGGATTTATCTCATTCATGCAAGGTTGGTTTAACATCCCAAAATGAATTAATGTGATATACTGCATTAATAAAATAAAATAAAATAATCCACATGTGCTTCTCAATACACAAGAAAAAAATCACTTGAAACATCCTTTTTAAGATAAGAAATACTCAACAAACCAGGAATAGAAGAGAACTTCTTCAATCCGATAAGAGGAATCTGTAAAAGAAGCTGCATCATACTTGATGAAGAAATACTAGATGCTCTCACATAAGATCAGGAATGAGAGACAAGGATGTTCACGCTCACTTCTATTTAACATTGTACTGCAGATTCTAACCAGGACAACTAGACAAGATAAATAAATAAAAGCTATACAGATTGGAAAAGAAGTAAAATTATCTTTATTTACAGGTGACATAATTTTTTTATGTGTAAAATATTAAGGAATCCACTAAAAAAACAATAAAATATTAGAACTAATAAACAGATTTAGCAAGATTTCAGGATATAAAATCGGGATACAAAATTTAGTTCGATTCTTTTTTTAACTTGTATACCATACAATTCACCATTTCTAAGTATAGAAGTTAGTGGTTTTTAGCATATTTATAATGTTGAACAACCAACACCACAATCAATTTAAGACATTTTCATCACCACTCAGTAGCACCTGTGTGATTAGCAGTCACTTCATATTTCCCTCTGCCTCCACCACTGGCAACCACTGATCTTTCTGTCTCTATGGATTTGCCTAGTCTAGATGTTTGGTCTAAATGGAATCATATAGTATGTGGCATTTTGTATCTGGTTTTACCACATTTTCAAGGTTTATCCATGTTGTAGTACTTAGTCCTTATGGTCAAATCGTAGTCTAGTGGATATGCCAGAGTTTGCTTATCCATTCATCATTTGATGAGCATTTGTGTTGTTTTTATAATTTGGCTACTATGAATAATGCTGCAATGGACTTTCATGTACACATTTTTGTTTGAACATATGTTATCTCATTCACCAGGGGTGGTAGAGGTAGCCCATTTGATCTAGAGCCATCTTGCATGGGTTAAAGTCCTGCTCTGCCAGTAATAATGTGTGACTTGGGCAAATGGCCTACAATATATGAGACTCAGTTTCCTCACTTGTAAAATAAGGGTAATAATAGTATTTATCTTGTGGGATTATTGTGAGAATTAAATGATTTAATATATATAATGCATTTTAAAGTGCTTAAAATAATATCCTGCACATAGTGCTTTATATATTTGTTATCTTAAAATAATCTTGCAAAATTATTACCTTTCCTATTTCACAGATGAAGAAACTGGGAGCTGCCCGAGGTTTTTGAGTCTTAGGGTTATATTCTTATGCATATGGAATGAATAGGCTAAAAATAAAATTAAGAGAACAATTACATTTACAATAACTTCAAGAGAGCAAAATACTTAGAATAAATTCACAAAATTAGCCCAAAACATATACTCTGAATATAACAAACATTGTTGAAAGAAATTCAAGATCTAAGTAAATGGAACTATATCCATGTTCATGGATAGGAAGACTTAATGTTAAGATGGTAATACTTCCCAGATTGACATGCAAATTCATCACAATCCTCACCAGATTATCATCTGACTCTTTTGTAGAAAATGACAAGCTAATTCTAAAATTTGCATGGAATTTTAAGGGACCCAGAATAGCTAAACCAATCTTGAAAAAGAAGAAAATTAGAGAACTTATTTTTTCCATTTCAAAATTTACTACAAAGCAGCTGTAATCAAGACAGTGTATTCTAGCTTAAGAATGGACACAGATTGATGAATAAAATTGAGAGTCCAGAAATGGTTTTTCAACTGATTTTTGACATAGGTGCCAAGACCATTTATGGGAAAAGGACAGTCCATTCAGCAAATGATGCTAGGGAAACTGGATATCAACACATAAAAATAAATGAAGTTGGACCCTTACATTATATATAAAAATTTACTCAAAATGGATGTAAGGTCAAAATATAAGAGCTAAAACTATAAAACTCTTAGAAAAAATACTGGGATAAATTTTCATAATTTTAAATTTGGCAAGATTTCAGGATATGACAACAAACATTAGCAACAAAATAAAAAGTAAATTGGACTTCATCAAAATTAAAAACTTCTGAGCTTCAAAGAACATTATCTAGAAAGTGAGAAGAAACCCCACGTAATGGGAGAAAATAACTGCAAATCACATACCCGATAAGAGAAGTATATGTAGAATACACAAATAACTCATGTAACTCAAAAACAAAAAGGCCAACAACCCAATTCAAAAATTGTTAAAGGATCTGAGTAGATATTTCTCCAAAGAAGATATACATATATTTGATAAAAAAACATGAAAAAAACCTTGACATCATTAGCCACCAGGCAAATGCAATCAATCCACAATGAGATGTCACTGCATACCGACTAGGATGGCTAGAATCAAAATCTCAAATAATAAATGTTGACGTGGATGTGGATAAATTGCAACAGTCATATACTACTGGAGTATAAAGCATTACAGCCACTGTGGAAGATATTCTAGCTGTTCCTCAAATATTTAAACAGTTAACTCTATGATCCAGTAACTTACTCCTAAGTATATGCCTAAGAGAAATGAAAACAAGTTCATAAAAAAACTGTACCCAGCTGTTTAGACCAGCATTATTTATAATAGCCAAAAGGTGGAAACAACCCAAATGTTCATCAACTGATGAATGTAAATACAAAACATGGTATATACTAACAATGGGAGATTATTCCATCATGAAATGAGAAGTACTAATACATGCTACACTATGGATGAACCTTGAAAACATTATGCTAAGTGAAGTTAGTCACAAAAGAAAATCTATTACATGATTTCATTTATATAAAATATCCAGAATAGGCAAATCTATAGAGTAGAAAGTAGATTAGTGATTAGAAGTTATGAACTTTACCATGATATGAGTTTAGAACCTGGTAAGGGTTAATATTCACCTGCCGTAGGGAGAGTACAAGACTATCATATAGAGGTAGGAAGGGCTCATGTGATTTATAGTAAACATTGAAGCAAAGCCCTTTATAAATATTGGTTATTTTTTCTTGGAATAATTTAATTGTAATAAATGTGTATTTAATGTTATCACATGTACTTTTAACAGTTCTTTGTGAAGATCTAGTAAATCTTTAAGTAAACCAAAGAAGGCACAGACTAATGAAACCTGTTAAGGTATATCATTTCAGGAAATGATAAATTAGTTTTCAATCTTTTAAGTTTACCTTAAAATACGGTAAGTTTACCTTAGTAATAGATTGAATCAGCAGGATGATAAAATAAAATTATAACATAAGCAGTTATAAATGTTGCACATATATTTTTTCAAGCTGCAGGTAGTGGTACACAGATCAGATTTATTTCCGAAAAATATAGGAAACTTACAGTATAAGAACGAATCATCTTTCATTTAATGTTCTCTCATGTATGAACACAAAAACAATCAGAAAGAGCTAATGAATGTTATTTTATTCTAACTTCATTGTATTTTAAACTTTTTTTGTCGTGGATTAAAGAAGTGGGAGGGGCGCTGTTCTCTCCATAGAGATCTCTTTTGTAGTAGGAAAATGAATTCTAACGGATATACCAAAAAAAAAAAAATCACAAAACTTAACATTGATTTATTGTAAGAAAAAAATGTTCATCAATCATTTCTGGCAGTAGGGTGGGAATGGGGTAGAAACCGTGCAGTTCAGAACTGAAGTCTTAGAGTAATTCGGCTCCACTGCGGCTAGGATACCTGACATATCCAGCAAAAGTTCTTATGGTAAATTACATGGACCTTAAGGAGCAGGATTAT